TGTGTTCTCCTAAGGAAGCCTTACAGGGCAAGTGGGTGGTAAATCATTCAGTGATTCCTTGGGCTACAGTCAGAACCTGAGTGAACAATACCCTTTACAAATAATGCATTGCTCTTTCTTGTTGGTAATCGTGTGTGTGCGGGGGGGGTGCTTCATGATCCACATTTTGTTTTCTTCTCTTTTCTGATAAGGACCAATCTCCTGCAAAGCATGTAGATCAACACAGCCAGGAGGACCAGGTACAAAACATAACCTACAATAGAAAGAAGAGCAAGAACAGCAGAGGTAACAGCGCCCTGGGTGTTGCCGTGTGTGTGTGTGTGTGTGTGTGTGTGTGTGTGTGTGTGTGTGTGTGTGTGTGTTTGAGTGCATGCGTGAGAGCATATGTGTGAATGTGTGTGTGTGTGTGTGTGTGTGTGTGTGTGTTTGGTTACAGTGTAGCCTTGCTGCCCTGCTAAACCTGAGCACATTCTAAATAGTGAGTTACAGAGTTTTTACCATAATTAAAGCTGTAGAGATCTGTCTGTTGACAGTGGTATCTGTATGAGTTTCATCAGCAGGAATAGGAGCATCAAAAGGCCCTATATTCATCTACAGTATAACACGCAGCACAAAGCCTTTCTCAGTTTCCTGCCCACTTATAGTTTTATTTCCTGCTTGTGCTTTAGAGAAAACTCACATCGAAGTTCTGGAGGTTCCTCTGAGGAAAATTTGAAAATGGCCTTTCTGATTTTTATAATAGTAAAAGTAAGGTTAACTAAAACTAACTTGGAAAATAGGAGTAGATTATTAATACGTCAAGTCCTACATTAAAGATAAAAATCTCAACTTCTCTAGGTATGTATACATGAGATCATCATCATTTATGGTGTCAGGAAGTTTGGTTTTACACCATGAGCATTGTCATCTGCTGTCTTTAAGTCTTCTCTAAGACTACAATTTTCATGGGTATGTACATGACGCCAGATCTTTTTGCTTGTCACATCATGACCTTCACATGAAAGATCTCTGTATCCTAAAGGAAAAATTGTAATAGTTACTAAAACATAATTTAATTTAAAATAATAATAGCATATGTGTGGTTATTTTTGTTTATTCTATTATTATATATTTTGGTGGAAATGTTAATTAATTATAAATTTATAGTGAATCTTAGGAATATACCTCCAGCATCTCATCCTTTGGAATTCTGGGGATCAATAGTTTGACAAAGGTCTTCTTTAACATCTTAATGACTGTTCCTAGGTCTATATTACCAAAAGTTTACATCAAGAAAGGATGTTGTAGGCTATCAAATATTTTTTGATATCTAGTTAGATAGCAATCCATTCAGGGGGTTTAGTTATTTGTTTCATATGTTACAATAAATTTTTAGGGATTAACTTGGAATTCTGTAAATTAACAAAAAATAAATGACACCACTATGACATACAGTTTAATGTCCCCTCTGCTCTTTGTACGTGTATCTACAAATTAAATTGTGTCTGCTCTGACAGACTTGGGTAAAAAGCTATTTTGGTTTCATAAATTATAATATTTCCATGTGAATATATAGTATGTAGCACATAAATTACTTTTACTTAAAAGCATAAAAATACCTACCATAAGCATTTTTAAGCCTATGTCCATTTTGAAAGTCAAACACTGACAATAGAACCCCATTGTGAGTCCTAGAGCATGTGGGCATAGTTTGTGCTGAGTAAGAGAGCATACAGCACCTTCACAATGGAAGACGAGGATGCTCTTAGAATACAACTTGCGCTGGAAGTTTTCAGTCTTGGTAAAATAGCAGGTGCACGTTCATGAAGAAGAGTTAGTGACTAAAAAGATACAAAAACAGTCGTTTCAAAGCATTAGGAATAACAGTCATGATGTCAGAGTTTCTAATTCCAAGAGCTGTAAGACAAATGTGACTATTGCATGGACTAAAGACCACTTTGAAGCTGCATTGTAGGTAGAGATCTCAGGTACCCACAGCACTGACCACACCCATTGGGCGTGGTCACAGGTATGTGGGGAGAGGCAGAGATGAAGGTCAAGGAAGGAGGGGTCAGGCTCTCTCTTGGGGCTGTGGTCGAGGTCGGAGACCAGCAGAGTGCTGACTCAGTTCTCAGCTTCTCACGTAAATGACCTCTCTCTCTAATAAAGGATCATACGACTCCTCTTCCCGGTATACTTGGTGTTGCTAGTTCTCCATCTTCAATGCACAACGTAGCATATACATTGTCTTTCTCAGACTTTATTTCTGTCAGGCAGTGGTGGTGTGCACTTTTAATTGCAGCAGAGGCAGGCAGATTTCTGTGAGTTTGAAGCCAGCGTTGGTCTACAAAGCAAGTTCCAGAACAGCCAGAGCTGTTACACAGAGAAACCCTGTATTGAGGGAAAAAAAAGACTTTATGTCTATTAGTGCTCTTTGGAGAAAATGATGAAAAACACTGGAGAGGTCACAAAAAAACACCTATGAACTCCTTCCTTGGCTCCACTGAGGTAGAGGGAAAGTGCAGAGGGGGAGGGGCAGAGGACAGTGGGGAACCAAGAAAGGCTTTTTATGTTTTGGGTGAACTCTTAGTTTACTCTGTGTGATTACCGATTTTCGTTTCTGTGGCTCATCCCTTATCTGAAAACAGTGGATCCCTTTTTGGACAGAGATAAGACGCCATGTCCCCCTCATCCTTTCCTCCTCGACAGCCCCACTGTTACGCCACGTGTTCTGTTCACACACTCTTTTAAACTGTAAGTATTCGATCTTCATTTATCCTTCCTTCATTACTATATTGGAAAGAAAACGGAGAAAAAACATTTTCCTGTCCTGTTCCATATAAGAAGATAAGGGTGCCTTCACTTTCAACCAGTCATGCAGTAAACCCTTCATCCACGACTGTAAGCAATTCGGAGACAAGGCGGGGGGCAGAAAATGTGTAATATGGGCTAAGAATACAATCAGATGAAGACGAAAAACCTCTATCCTACCAGAAAAGAGAAGCTGCAATAGTGAAGACGAGTTGTAGGGGGCGGTCCTTTATATCACAAGTCTATAATCATGTCTAGACACCCTAGAAAACAAATATGGGGGTGATGTGACAAGGCTGAGTTTTTAACAGTTTAGGGCTACAATTGTAAGTAGACAGAACAGAACAGAAAGATAAGCCACGTGGAAATGGAAGAGAAGTCAAGAACTAGACCACTAAAGCCTCTAAAGTGTGTGTTGATTTGCAGAGTTAAACCAAGGCTGCAGGATTCCAGGTGTGTGGTTGATAGAGGCTGATGAGATGGGGAGGATTCTCACATCATCGTTCCCGATGATGCGAATTCCACTAACTGTGGAACTGTTACAGAAGGAGGCTATAATCCAGCCTTCCGAGCTTCCTTCAGCATCACATTTATGATTAAAAGTGAAGCAAGTGAAGCTTGCTATTGAGTTTAACACAGCAAGCAGGAACTTCTTCCTAATAGCTGTCTCTTGCTGAGTGTAGGAATCTGATGGTCTGGGCTGCTGGTTCACACGGCTGACTCTGTAGATGATTTAATGAGATAAGACATCCAATTAGCTTGCAAAAGTATAATTAGGTTACAACAAAGTGTTCAAAAATTAGCCATTAGTTTCATCACATACAAAAGCCTCAGAGCCCAAAACAAAGATACCGTGGACTGTCTTAGGATCTCATTGTAAGCCTGAAATATAAAAAGTGAAATAAAATAACATATTAGTAAGTACTTATAAAGCTACATTGATTTAATCTGGCAAAACAAAGTGTGTGTCTAGGAGATAAATGGAAGAGAACAACAGAGAATTTGAGGCAACTGAAAAGTTGTAAAAGGAAGAGATGTAATTCTTGGTGATTTTAATTAATGGAGAGTGAATTCCAGCCTGAACATAGCTGTTCCAAAGATTATCCAAGTATCCTCAGTCCTTGGAAGAGCCTACAAACCAAGCTTCATGATTCCTAGACTCTTCATAGTTTAGATTCTCCAGGAAAAATGCCCCTGTTATAACTTTAATACCTTTACTCAAAAATAAGAACGTTTTGAGACAGGGTCTCACTATGTAGCCCTCACTGGTCTGGAAATTGTTGTGCAGTCCAGGCTGGCCTTGAACTCACAGGAATCTACCACCTCTGACTGCCAAGTACTGAGATGAAATGTGTGCACCACCACACACCGGCCCTCTAAAATATTTTAATTAAATCAACTTTTTCTTTTTCAGTTAATTGGACTTAAAAAATAATTTACTAAATATGGACATATACTTAAAATTGTCATGTATTATTATGTATTTTATTGTACTATATTCATTTATAATGACATATTGCAACTACCCACTATGTCATTAAGTAGGTTCTATCTAATTCAATTCATAAAACAAACTACCAAAACATTATTGTTTCACTTATTTCTCTAGGTGACACTAGCCTAGCTAGCTGCAACTCTAAAAAGTTAAGTAATTTAAATAGGTAATAGTCTAAATTGGTGGCAAGGTAAAAATCTAAATAATATTTTTTAGACCCAGTTTTAATAGGATACAGCTTAGCCAGTCAGGGTAGTGCACACCTTTAATCCCAGGACTCAGGAGGCAGAGGCAGGTGGATCTCTTAGTTTGAGGCCAGCCTGGTCTACAGAGCAAGTTCAAGGACAGCCAGGACTACACAGAGAAACCCTATTTCAAAAGAAAAGAGACAGCTTCATTTCAAAATATTCATTAATAAAAATACTAATGTGGCCACACTTGAAAGAAGTTGACCTGAGACTGCATTCAAATAGAGAACTGACCCTTCACAATGCAATTCCAGTTCTCTGATGCCATTTGATGCTAAACAATATTGCCCATCTATGTCTCTTCCATTTTTAGTGGGAAAATACAATAACTGCACTTGCTGATTGTAGGAACTTTTCTAAGACCCAAAGAAGATAATGTATGTGAGAGTTACCTTACGAATCTCTATCCAAACCCTAAGTTTCCTTGAGTCACGTCCTTGAATGGATTCTGCAGGTGAGGCAAGTGTATGAAGATGGGGAATGACTCTGCAGTGACAGAATTCTTCCTGGTGGGACTTTCCCAGTATCCAGAACTCCAGCTTTTCCTGTTTGTGCTCTGTCTCATCATGTACTTGATAATCCTTCTGGGAAACAGCCTCCTCATCATCATCAGTGTCCTGGACTCTCGGCTCCATACCCCCATGTACTTCTTTCTTGGGAACCTCTCTTTTTTGGATATCTGCTACACATCCTCGTCCATTCCTCAAATGCTAATCATGTTTATGTCAGAGAGAAAATCTATCTCGTTCCTGGGTTGTGCTCTGCAAATGGTTATCTCCCTGGGCTTGGGCTCCACAGAGTGTGTCCTCCTGGCTGTGATGGCCTATGATAGGTATGCAGCCATTTGCAATCCACTGAGGTATCCCGTAATCATGAACAAGGTGTTATACGTGCACATGGCTGTGTGGTCCTGGGTCGTAGGCTGTCTGAACTCTCTGGTGCAAACGGTCTTGACAATGGTGTTACCTTTCTGTGGTAATAATGTCATTGATCACCTTACCTGTGAGATTCTGGCTCTTCTCAAACTGGTGTGCTCCGACATCACCACGAATGTACTCATCATGACCGTGGCCAGTATTGTTTTGCTAATGATTCCCCTGCTGTCAATTTTTGTGTCTTATGTTTTTATCCTTTCTTCCATCCTGAGAATTAATTCCGCCGAAGGAAGAAAGAAAGCATTTTCTACCTGCTCAGCCCACTTAACTGTGGTCATCTTATTCTACGGTTCAGCCCTTTTTATGTATATGAAACCCAAGTCAAAGCACACCACGGCATCTGACGAAATCATCGGGCTGTCTTACGGAGTGGTGACTCCAATGTTAAACCCCATCATCTACAGCTTGAGAAATAAGGAGGTCAAAGAAGCTGTGAGGAAAATTTTGAGTAAATATTTGGGTCTACGGAAAATATGAAAGGCCTTGGGGCACATGATACTCAGCCTGGGGTCAAATGAGATGCTGTGTTTTCAAAGTCAGCTTGAAAGGCCAAGGATGAAAGACCCACTCTTTTCAACATGTAAACCTGTGCAGACTCTTCAGCCAATGCGGCTCCTCTTGTCAGTCCCCGTGGGTTTCCATTAAGTCAAACTTTCATTCCTTCCATCCCCACTTTACTCTGTGTTTGTTTCTTACTTTTGTCCTCCTCTTCTCTCTGCCGTCTCTTTCCTGTGCATCCCCCTCATCTATCATCTATGTCTTTTTTTCCCTCCCTTTGCATTCATTTTTAATTCAACACCCATTATCTTACGGTGTGTAAGTCACCGTAATGGTTAAAGAAACTATCCTTTCCTTGTACAGCTCCCTAGCCTTCCCACGTGGCAGTGGGAAAGGCTTACTTCTACCCTCTGTAAACAGCAGGAAGCACTGAGCATAAGGCCTCACCAATTAAGTGGCCCTGCGCACCCCAGTGACTGATCCCACACAGTAAGTCAGCCATGTCAGGCAACTCACCCTCAGTCCCAGAGGCTGCTCCAGTTTGAGAAAAGCAGCGTTCTTCCTGCTATAAGGCTGGTGCGGACGTCGAGGCCAGTTCTCTGCCAGAGCCCAGAAAAGGAGGACATGGAAGATAAGGGGGGAGTCTGAGGAAAAGGGAGGGCGCCCGGTGCTGTTACTTCAAATCCTCCATCCAGCTGTGGCTGAAGCAAAATCCGCCGTTATCCTTTTGGTTATGAGCCAGCAAACCACCTTTCTCCAGTGCTCTCCCAATTTTTAACTGGAGTCTTGCTGTTTACAATGGTACGTTTCTAACTCAACATTCCCTTGCCAACTCCTTGTTCCTATCTTTCCCCCGTTCTTATTTTTGAGGGAAAAGTGAAAAGATTTAAATTAGTCCCAAGATTCCAGCATCCATGTTTTTTTAAAAAAGAAATGTTTATTTATTCATTCTGTGTGCATGTACATGTGTGTACATGCATGCCACAGTACAAGAGTAGAGGTCAGAGGACAACTTGCAGGAGTCAGTCCTCTCTCTCCACCATGTGGGTTCTAGGGATCAAATTCAGGTCACCTGGCTTGGCCGCAAGTTTATCTGCTGACCCAGCTCACCATACCTCCTTTCTTTCAATAACTGCAGTTCACCACGTACAAGCATGTAAGTAGTCCACTCACCTCCCCAAAACCTGCTGGGGGATATTTAAATTTTCCTGGAGTCTAGCTATCACTTTGGCTGTTCCTCACCAGCAAGCATTTTAAAATATTGAAATCCAGTCTACAAACACCTTGACTGGTATGTTGTGTTTGAAAAGTCAGTCTACAAACGCCTTGGGTAGTGTGCTGTGTTAGAAGGGTGTGTCATTCTGTACGCTTAGGATTTGTGCTCATTCAATACAAAGCCAAATGAAGAAAGAACACAGCACGGTGTGCCTCTTGTTATGCGTATTGGACTTATCACCACAGCCCTGATAAAACCAGCATCAATGGGTACTTCCTACCAAAGGAAGAACCGTGATTGGAGTCAAACACTCTTAACAGCCCTACTTGAATTTCTTTAAAACTGCTATGTCACAGCAATACTTATAAAAACCCTAATGCATCTTGTTCACAGCTGCTTCGAAACATCTTTTCCAGCATTTCTTATTGCACAATCATCCTACCGTTTTCAACCTCTCTTGTGCTCCTTCTTTAATCATGGTAATCTTTTTTTCATGCAAAATAAGCTACCCTACTAAAGCAAGGAATTTAGAGAAAGATGGATTTTAAAGAAGTTGAGAAATCTGGGCCTGTCATGGAACTCTCAAGTTAAACATTTTTTCCCCTAAGGTAGCTCAGTAAATGAGATTTCTCACTGCATGAACACAAGGACCAGAGTTCAGATGTTAGCACCCATTTAAAAGGCCAGACATGGTCTCACGGCAGCCTGTAACCCCGGCACTATAGAGACAAGAGGGTTTCTGGGGCTTGCTAGCTTCTGTCCTGTTCCAGGTCCCATGAGATGCCCTGTCTCTGGTGAACAAGTTAATGTCCTGTGTATTCTTATAAGGATCCAAATAGCACAGGCATGCATTTGTCAAAACCGAATGTGGCATTAAAGTTCATGAAGTTATAGCATGTAAATTTCCTTTTTATCGAAAATTCATACAATATATTCTGAATACCATTTCCCTTCCCCTTATCCTCCCAGATCCCCTCCACATCCCCAGCTAAACAACTCCACACTTTCTCTTTCTTTAGAACAAAAGACCAAAAAAAAACAGAATTATTTAAAACAAAAAAGCCTAAGAGACACACATTCACCCAGACACACACACACACACACACACACACACACACACACACCATAAAAACACAAAATCAAAACCCACAATATGCAAGCATAAAACCAGGATTTTAAAATATCCAGATAAATAAATATTAAACACACACACACGTATATATATATATATATATGTATATATATATATACAAAAAACATTGAGTTTGTTTTGTGCTGACCATCTACCGCTGGGCATGGGGACCTGCCCTTAAGTGTGGTTTATATGTTCAGTGAAACTCCATTGAAGAAAATTAATTTTTCCTTTGCAAGCAGTTGTCATTTGGAGTTTCCTTCTTTGTTAAGGCTGGGAGACCATGTCCACTTCCTGTAAATTTCTATTTGAAATGAAAACTACAGATATTTAAATGTGATGAGCAACATGATGACGTACTTATGAAAAAAAGTATAATGACATTTACAGCTTCCTTTAAAATACATCCAAAACACAATCCATGCTTAAAGGAGGAACAGAGAAAGTCTCATCCCTCTGGATAAATCTAGGAAAACACGAAAGCCAGAAGCTGGGTGGCAGGTACATGAGGCTCAGCGTTAGCTTTTCTCTGTTCTCCTGTATGTGTGAAAGTTTTAGAATGCGCATGGTTTTACTGGAGAAATATATTAAATTGTGAGGTCTATGGTCCTTGGAAGAATTTATCTGTGACTGAGTGAAAGGTAGAAATTGAATCCTAAGTGGAATAATTATAAATCCCATTTTTTCTTTTATTGAAAATAGGTTTTTTTCATACAATATATTTTGATTACTGTTTCCCTCCCCCTACTTTTCCTCACCTCCTCCTGCATACAGATACACACCCTTTCTGTCTCTCCTTAGAAAACAAAAAGGCATCTAAAGAGTAAAAGTAGAATAAAATAAAAAATTAGAATAGGGCAAAACAACCAAGCAAGAAAAAGAGCCAAAGAAAAAGCACAAGAAATGCATATTAGCAGCTGAGACACACACATCCACACCCATGAGAACCCCACAAAAATACGAAACCAGAAGCCAGAACATATATACACAGGACCTGTAAGGTTAAAAAGAAAGTTCCGTGACCAACATTGTGAGACAGAGAACTCCCAAAAATGCTGCTGAGTTCTTTTTGTGTTGGCCATCTACTGCTGGGCAAGCAGCCTACCCTTAAGACTAGTCTTTGCCCGGTGAGACTCCCTTGGAGAAAACAAATTTTTCATTTCCAAGTGGTTGCCATTTGGCTACTGCTTCTGGGTCAGGATGGGGCGTGTGTCCACTTTCCTCTGGATTAGGATGGGGCGTGGTCCACTGTCTTCTGGGTCAGGATGGGGTGTGTGTCCACTTTCTTCTGGATTAGGATGGAGTGTGTGTCCACTTTCCTTCTGGATCAGGATGGGGTGTGTGTCTACTTTCTTCTGGATTAGGATGGAGTGTGTGTCCACTTTCCTTCTGGATCAGGATGGGGTGTGTGTCTACTTTCTTCTGGATTAGGATGGAGTGTGTGTCCACTTTCTTCTGGGTCAGGATGGAGTGTGTGTGTCCACTTTCCTTCTGGGTCAGGATGGGGCATGGTCCACTTTCCTTCTGGGTCAGGATGGGGAGTGTGTCCCCTTTCTTCTGGATCAGGATGGGGTGTGTGTCCACTTTCTTCTGGATCAGGATGGGGTGTGTGTGTCCACTTTCTTCTGGGTCAGGATGGGGCGTGTGCCCACTTTCTTCTGGGTCAGGATGGGGCGTGTGCCCACTTTCTTCTGGGTCAGGATGGGGCGTGTGTCCACTTGTTTTCAGCTCTAGGAACCATCTGACACAGACCCACGCAGGACATGTGCATGCTGCCACAGTCTCTGTGACTTCGTATGTGCTGTATTTAGAAGGCTTTCATTCCTTGGTGTCCTCAGTCCCCTCTGGCTCTCACATTCTTTCTGTCTCTTCTTCCAGAGTTTCGTGAGCACTGAGGGGGTGGATTTGATGAAGAAATCCCTTTTAGGGCTGAATGTTCCAAAGTTGCTCACTCTCTGAATATTGTCTGGCAATGGTCTCTGTTTGTTCCCATCTCCCTAGGAAAGGGAAATGAATTAGTTACAGATAGAAAGGGGGAGGAAATGGAATGGGAGGATCAAATAGGAGGGGGTAAGAAGGGCACAGGGAGGGAGTATGGGGAGGGGCAGCTAAAACTAAGGGCCATTCAAGGAATTGTATGGAAACCCAATACAATTTAGGAAGCCTCCTAAAATATACACAAATACAAAACTGTTCTAAATGAAATCACCAAATAACAAGGGAGACAGAGCCCCAACTAGACATTTCTTGTCACTAAAGGAAGCTTCTAGTACTGGGAATGTGTTACATCTAATCAAATTCTTAGCCAAAGGAATCCCATGGGAAGCCCTAAACAACCTAAGGTATTGCCAAGGTTATTGGTGGCTCTCCACAAACTGATGGTAAGATCACATTGCTGAAGACAACACCTACACCTACAAAATTCATTGAACACAGAAAAGTCAAGCTGGTGCCTATCTACAGCCTTCACTCTACCCGTCTAGTTAGTGGTCATGGTACCAGAAGGTACTTTGCACACTATCAAAGGATTAATGTAAACACCAATCCAGTTACAAAACCTTCAATCTCCAATGGTGATCTGCTGTAATTCAGCTAAGGATCAGTCTGTAAGATGGAAACAGGTGTGACTATGGGTACGCCTCTCCCTACACCTAAGGACATTCTTCTGTACGCACAGATCTGTGTCTTGCATAGAGAAACTTCATCCCACAGCAGATTACAAATCTTCTTAAACTTAACTTAGAAAAAAGTTTAAATTTTTCAACAGTCAAAACTTTTTAATTAGGCTATTTACAACTCCTGTAAGAGAAATCTTAAAATAAATTTAATAGTTCCTGTGAAAACTTTATTGCAAACTCTCTCAGCTTAAAAAAAAGTTCTATTATTTTAAAAGCAAATCTTAATAGGTACTTACAACTCTTGCAAGTGATAAATTAAAAATACAGTTTAATGGTCCCTGTGAAACTTAATTTACTGTGCACAGTCTTGACAGTGTTTCAGCTGTTATTCCCAGGGGATGAGAACAGGGGAAGAAAAAGAAAGAGAAGAAATGCATCAGACTTATCAGAATCCAGTTGGCATGATGCACTGTTTTCAGCATTCTTTCTCATGGTTTTGGCTACTTCTAATTGAACTACTATTTTTTTTCAGGCATGCCAGGCTGTGTGAGCTTTAGCAAACAAAGGAAAGATTGTTTTCCTTACAGATTTTACTCAACAGCTAATATAATTAAAGCCCACATAGCTACATGACAATCACCTATTTATTGTATAACACTGCTATTCTTAAAACAATGAAGATTCATAGTCATGCATATTTTCCCAGAGTCTTTCTGATATGGAAACTTAATAAACAGTAAGTTAAGGTTTAAATCAAGCAATCTATAAATTATCAGAGTTGGTTCCTCTCACACCAGATGAAGGACAAAATAAATGTCAGTTATTATTGTTTGTAGACAACATAGCTGCATAGCAGCTGTGTTATAATAATGGTTCAGATGTTTACAAGTGTTAATCTGGAAGCTTCATTACCATTGTATTTATAAAGTTACAAATTTTCACTTAATGTAATTAGCCACACACCTGCTCAGTTTAAATTTTATGTTTCTAAACCAAAGTTTTAAACTTCAAGGCATTTTGAGAGAGAGAAAAAAAGTGCATGTCAAAGTCAGTAACAAATAAATTGCTATCAATCAGACAAGTAGGTGGAAATGAGTTTATATCAAAATGAATTTTTGCCCAGATAGTAAACAGTGTTGGTAAGACTGAAGAGTCACAGGAAAGGACCCTCTCTGGGGGTTGCAGTTATTTAGTTCTTCGTCCATTAATTATTTGCGTACTTTTGTTGGAATTATCTTATAAAATATTATACTTGTCCCTACATATCATCAGATTCCTTTTCTTCCTATTTTCCTAGCTCTTTGAGATCCCTGTGTAGGTTTGAGGTGTTTAATTCTCAGTGTATTCATTAAACCATAAAACTCAAAAATTTTGATAGCAAATATGTTATCCTTAAGTGTATAAATATTTTGATTTTTTCATCATGATATTTGCAACATGAGAATTATTTAGAAGTATTTTCTAAGATTCCATGTTTAAACTTCATTTTGGAGTTTTTCTTTTTAGTATGGATTTATAGGTTGCGGCTTCATGGCTACAAAAAAGTGGTCTGGATTATGTTGGTTCATTGACATTAAAAGACTTGTTTCCTAAAGAGGCAGAAAGACTGTAAGAGCCAGAGGGGATGGAGGACACCAGGAGAACAAGGCCCTCTGAGTCAGCTGAGCAAGGTGCGTGTGAGGTCACAGAGACTGAGGCAGCAAGCACAGGGTCTGCACCAGGTCCTCTGCCTATGTATTATAGCTGTTAGCTTAGTAATTTCGTGGGGCTCCTGACTGTGAGAACGAGACAGTCTCTGACTCTTGCCCCTGCTCTTGGGACCCCTTTCCTCCTGTTGGGCTGTTAAGTGCAACTTTGATATGATAGTTTTTGCTTCATCTTATTATGTATTATTTCGTCATTTATTTTGGTTTTATCTCTTAGAAGCCTGTTGTCTTCTAATGATAGAAAAAGAGTGTATCCAAAGAGGAGGAGAGGTGGGGTGGAAATGGTAGGAGCAGAGGGAGGGCAAACTTTAATAAGGATATGTTTATGAGAAAAGAATATATTTTCAATTTTAAAAAGAATGGTATGCCTAATGAAGTAACTTGTGAATAAATAAATAAATGGGCTTGCTTTCTTTCCTAAAGAAATAGAAACAAGTATTATAAATACCTTAGACTACAGAAAGGGAAAGTATCCTGGGATACATGGCAGTTCATATGCTAAGTGAAACAGTATGTAACCTAACAGGGCACCACAATCAAGCCAAGGGAAAATGTAAACAAACACTCCAAACATGGAAAAAGGAAAAGTGTACCTTAAATAAGGTAAGGAGGGCACAGTAAAAAGTAAAAGACTAAAAATTTAACTTAAAAACATTTATATGGAAAAATATGCTGCTACATTAGGTCAAAGCATGACACAAATAGTATTTATCACTTATACATATGGCCCCAAATGGATTGGAATCCACATTTCCTTTTATTTATTTCTATGATAGAGATTGGACTCCCTTCACTGAATGGATACCATGAACAGACGAGCACAGTGTTGATGCAGTGATTCCACTTACTGTAAAGCCAAGCCCCTCTCCAAAGTGCCATTTATAGAACAAGTGTATGGAAATACTGCAGAGTGAGAGGGGAGAAAATGAGCTTCAAGGCAGGCATGCACAACAGGTTACAAGAAAATGATGGAAACGAACCAGCCGCTCCAAAATTATTTTCTTTGTTCCCTCTGGCAAGTCATTTTCTTTGAGATTCGTGCTGGCTGTTTTTGTTTTAATTAGTAACGTGTAAACATCATCATTACAAAGGAAACCAGATATGAGTAAGATAGGAGTAACACCACCAACAAAAACCCAGTATATATGGCACTGTGTACCAAATGGACGAGACAGAATGTGATGGTCCCCATGGTGTGAAAGAGTATTAGTAACACTCCCTTAGAGTAAAAGAGGAAACATTTAGGAGCACGAATTGGGTACCGTTAACACATTTCAGGATATAAGGTAGAAATTGTGAAGTCCCTTTTAAATGAGAAGGGAAGCCACACAGATATGAGGAGTGACCTGTCAAGTAAGGATTGTCATAGAAAAAGCTCTAGTAGCACGGATTGACAGATATGCCTCTTCTGAAAAGCAGACTCAGGGACAATTGATTCCAACAGAAAGAGGTATGAAATAAGAATGGTATTGACATGCTATGGGATATTTGTAAGCCATGTGGAGATGTATTTGCCTAATAAAAAGTTGAATGCTCAATAGCTAGGCAAGAGGTATAGGCGGGGTTTCCAGGGAAAGAAAGGAAGAGGGGGGGGGAGAATCTAAGCACATGGGAGAAGCCGGGAGACACGGAGAGAAAACAGGAGGCATGAGACAGAAGAGAGGTAACAGCAAGTAATAGAACATAGATTAATATAAATAGGTTAATTTAAGTTGCAAGAGCTAGATAGAAACAAGCCCAGGCTGTAGGCCAAGCTTTCATAATTAATAATAATTCTGTGTCATTATTTGTGAGCTGGTGGCACAAAAAGAAAAATCTATTACCTATGGCATCCAATGTGGAGGCTCAAATATCCAAGCATAGGTCCTGAAAAAGCTAAGAAAAGTTCTGGACAAGGAGCCAAACACGCATGACTTCCTAGTCCTGCCGTCTCTCATGTGGGCTGGTGCTCAGAACACAGAGGCAGTTACAGACCACTGCCGGAGGGCTGTAGCCAGAAGTCAGTGCCAACAAGCTGAGCCGTGTGGTGGCTGACACGGCAGTTTAAGGTTTGGCTCACATGTCAGAGGACATTGCAAGTGCATGTCTGCAGGCACTTAATAAAGGCAGGTCCAGACCAAGAGAACCTCTGAACAGATATAGTGTTTAAAAATGTGCTTAGAGCCGGGTGGTGGTGGCGCATGCCTTTAATCCCAGCACTCGGGAGGCAGAGGCAGGTGGATCTCTGTGAGTTCGAGGCCAGTCTGGTCTACCAAGCGAGTTCCAGGACAGCCTCCAAAACAATGCAGAGAAACCCTGTCTCGAAAAAAAATGTGCTTAGATGCTAAGAAAGAAAAGAAAATGGGTATAGATGGCCATAGAAAAATAATTTAAAAATAATGAAGTCTTTGAAGAAATAATGAAGTAATGTACACTGAATAAACCACATAAATATGGGAAATACACAGAGTATCTGGATCCTGTGTGGTACTTTGCTGACGTTGAATTTTTTAAACCCTATTAACAAAAAAGACAATAGCTTCTGAAAAACATAGGATTTTGGAAACTGCTAAATTAAGCCAACCTATATACTCTAAGAATGTCTTAACTTCAAAATGGAAGTCAGAAAATATATTGCATTGGGGGAAGAGGTTATGCCTGTTTCCATGGGGAAACAAAAAGTTATGGTTCTCTTCAAAATTAAAAAAGATCAGATTTGATTAGGGGAGACCTCCTGAAAATCTTGACTACACACATAAAAAGAAAAAAGAATGCAGGAAAGACTAAGATAAGGTCACATATATGCTGATCCTTCTACTATGGGAACATCTCTGAGACTGGACGAAACATGATAAATATTGTTGGCTACAGGGTCCTCGTGACTTATTATTGCATGCCATCCTTTCGTATGGCATGAATATATGTTTGTTTATACAGCCCAAACAGACTTATAAAGTTGACAGATGCCTTTTTCCTGCTCAAACATAAATCAAAAAAAATCATCTTTAAACTCACTTGTTCACACTGCACATTCCATATTTGTGTTAATATAGACATGTATGTTACCTTTAAAAATTAATGTGTTTTCGGAAAATAAGGACAAGACACTAATAAAGACAAGTAGTTCAAGTGATCCAGCCTCTCAAAATTCCTCTATTACAGTGTCCCCCAATTCTGCATCCAGAACAACTTCAAAGCTGCTAGCTAAAATGGTCCAGCCTCACAGACTATCCAGACAAGACATCGGATAAGTTCTACACTTTCCCATCACACAGAGACTAAACAAAAATAATACAGCTAATTTTCCAAGGACTTGACCATTATCTCAGTTTTCTCAGTGTCCCCTAAAGATGTCATCACTCCCATCACTCCCAGAAAGCAGTCTAGAGTACATGATGCCCAGATTCCTGAGAGGTGGGATGGATGGTTTTTGGTCTTTTAGTAGATTATGGATGTTTATCATAATTTGGGGGGCTTGGTTGCATATTGTTACTGGTCATGGTAAGGGACAATCAAGGAACATTAGATTCAAGGATTTCTTTCTGGTGATAGGATAACAGGATAGATTACTAAATTGACTTCAAACTAAAAAGCAACTATTAATCTCTAATATTTTACATTGGTATCGAATTGCATATATTGATACAAATTTAAGGTTATTTTTGTTAGAAAATACTCTATATATGCTTTTACTCTTTTTGAAGATATTTTTGTATATTGATACAAATTTAAGGTTATTTTTGTTATATTGTACATCTGTTTCTATTCTTGTTTAAAGTATTGTACCTATATCGCATATTTAACAATGATATGTAAATTTCTAGTCCTTGAAAGTTTTTATTACAAAATATTTAGGATAATTAAGAAATACAGGTTAGTGATTATCCATCTAACAATCAAATTTGCTCCCATGTTAGGTATGTTTCCAAGGTCAAACGGAGATGTATTTTAGATAGACAGATAATTCTCCAAACACTTCAGAGACCTACAGAATATGGCATTTAAGATGTTTTAATAACCTAAGGCTTTTCATGACAGTAAAACACATCTGCTCTTGATAGCACCAATTTACTTCAAAAAGATATGGTGGGCATTGAAGAACCTCCACATGGTGTTTGCTTTCATTCTGGCAAAACTAGCCATTTGGGCAAGAAACTGCCCTTGCCTCAGCTGCTGACAGTAACTGGATAAGCAGGACACAAAAGAGAGAGAGACTACTGAACTTTGCCAAGACAAGATAGGACAATCATTCAAAATTCCTGCTTTATTGAAGAGTCTGCCAGATATTCTAGGCCTGTAGGCTGAAGATGGATGCCCCAACATTGCAGAGAAACCTAGAGTAACAATCCATGCAGCCAGTTGTTTCTGTCATTTCTATAGTTTGAGAAGTTGCTTGTTCTGCACTTCCTGTTTACTCAGGTAACATTGCATCCTTCTTTGGTCTCTGATGGGAAATGAAGATTAGATAGTATACAGTTTTCCTTGTTACCAAATTCAAGAAAAAACTTACATAAGAGATATAAAATTTATAAGGTTGAGAAACAAAGGCTCAAGTTGTGTGTCTAATAAGATGTTACAGGTCTAAAAAGATATTTTTAGGATACTAATACAAGTTACATTATAAAATGGCTTAGGTATAACTTTGAACTCACTAAGATAGAATAGATGGTACAGTACTTTCTCCAAATTTAGCAAACACATATATACTAAATATTGTGAATGTAATTCTTACTTGATAATTGTTCTTATTGTATATGGTTTTACTATGTTAGAGCTAAAACCTTTCTTTTTCATTTAGACAAAAAGAGGGAAATGTTGTGGGATATTTGTACACAGTGTGAAGATATGTTTGCTGTGATTGGTCTAATAAAAAGTTGAACGGCCAATAGCTTGGCAGGAGGTTTAGTCAGAATTGCCAGGGAGAGAAAGAGCAGAGGAGAAATATTCTAGACACTATGCAGAGAAAGGGAGGGAGAGAAATAATCTAGACACTATACACAGAAAGGGAGGGGAAGAAATAATCTAGACACTATGCAGAGAAAGGGAGGGGGAGAAATAATCTAGACAATATGCAGAGAAAGGGAGGGGAGAAATGATCTAGACGCTATGGAGATGCCAGGAGACATGGAGAGGAAATGGGAGGTGCAGGATGGAAGAGAGGTAAGACCATGTGATAGAGTGCAAGTTAATATAAATGGGTTAACCCAAGTTATAAGAGCTAGTTAGGAACAAGCCTAAACTATAGGCAAGCTTTCATAATTGATAAGAAGTTTTATTTGACCAGGCGGTGGTGGCGTGCTTCTTTGGCCGCAGCACTAGCAGAGGCAGACAGACCTCTGTGAGTTCAAGACCAGCCTGGTCTATAGAAGCCAATTCCAGGACAGCCTCCAAAACCACAGAGAAACCCTGTCTCAAAACACCCCCAAAGGAGAAGGAGAAGGAGAAGAAGAAGAAGAAGAAGAAGAAGAAGAAGAAGAAGAAGAAGAAGAAGAAGAAGAAGAAGAAGAAGAAGAAGAAGAAGAAGAAGAAGAAGAAAGTTGTTTTGTTTGGAAGCTGGCTGGTTGGGCAGAGAAAGACTCACTCATTATATTAATGTAGTCTTCAAAATTATGGAAACTAGGAAATAAAAACAAGAGTTTAAAAACAGTCATCAGATGCCACAATACATGGGCCTGTTGTTAGGCCCAAAGGTCTTATGCATCTTTGTCAAGAGCAGTTCTATCTTTCTCTCCCTGCACACATCACAGGATTTATATTTTTAAAACAATGAATTGCCTTTATACATAAAGAAAATAATTTGGAAAATGAAGCCCACTTCCCTCCAGATCCAGGCCCTTGGAAGAATTTGACAAGGATTTTTTTCTTACTTCCAGTCTTTCAATGTTGACGGGGAAGCTGATTAGACAAACACACAAGCATAAATGATAAGATTCAATCCAGCATCCCAAGAGTGATGAATAGTAAAAGGACAAGTGCTGCTTTCAAAAGAAGACTATAGCCTTGAAGATGATACGTCATCCAGAGACTGGCATCCTTACATCGCAAAATCAAGAGCTGTTTGGGGCTCCAGCACACAGTGGGATTTGTAGGTGTGCTTTGTTTTCTATTTATTATCTACTAACAATTTGCATAGGTTGTCTTTATAGGCAACTTTTATGCACCCAATATAAATTAGATATTCCCTACAACTGTGTGAGTATAAGGTCATGACAGTGCTTTGCACAAACCCCTGATTTTCATGCAGTAGTAGTTTAAATAATAAGTTACTCATTCTTTTGAGATCTTACATGTTTTGACTGAATTTTCAATTGTACTTTTGAAACATACCATATTAGTGTGCGAAGAGAAATAAAAGAGCCCAAGAGAAGGCACAGAAAACAGAGGCCCACTCATTTGCACACTCAGGAATTCCATAAACACACTAAACTGCAAAAAATAATATATACACAAAGGACTTATGGGGTAAAAAGAGAGAGGATAGATAGATAGATAGATAGATAGATAGATAGATAGATAGATAGATAGATGATAGATAGATAGATGATAGATAGATAGATAGATAGATAGATAGATAGATAGATAGATAGATAGATAGATAGATAGAATTTTAAAAAGGAAGAGTCCTGACACCACATTATGAGACAAGGAACTTCCAAAGATGCCATTGAGTTCACTTCGTGTTGGCCATCTACTTCTGGGCATACAGCCTATCCTTAACAGTGGTTTGTTCCCCAGTGAGACTCCGGTGGAGCAAACTAAACTTTCTTTTGTAAGTGGTTGTCAACTGCAGACTGATTCTGGGTTAAGGATGGGGGAAGCTGTCTGCTCCTCTGAGCTCGGCGCTCTAACTGGTGCAGGCCCGCACAGGTCCAGTGCGTGCTGCCTCAGCCTTGCAATTTCACAGGTGCACCAACCCTGTTGATTTAGAGGACCTCGTTTTTGTTGGTTTCCTCCATCCTCGCTGGCTCTTATACTATCTCTCTCTCTCTCTCTCTCTCTCTCTCTCTCTCTCTCTCTCTCTCTCTCTCTCTCTCTCTCTCTCTCTCTCTCTCTCTCCTATTCCATGGGGTTCCCTGATTCCTGAGAGGAGAAATTTGATGGAGACTTTCCTTCTAGGCAGAGAGTGTCAAGGTCTCACCATTTGCATAATGCATGGCTTTGTGTGTCTGTGTTTGTTCCCATTTCCTCCTTTAGGTTTGGGAACTTTTCTTCTGTGATTTTCTTGAAAATGTTTTCTGTACCTTCTCCAGGCCTCTTCTCCCTCCTCTATTCCTATTGTTTTAGATTTGGTCTTTTCATTGTGTCTCAGTTTTCCCGAGGAGTTGAGGACAGGATTGATGGGATTTTTTTATTTTTTATCTTTAGCTTTAACATGTTCTTTAACTCAGATCCCCATTTCCTGTATTGTGTCTTCAGTGCCAGAGATTCTCTTCTCCATCTCTTATATTTGTTGGTGAGGCTTGCCTCAGAGGCTCCTGTTCAGGTTCTTAAATTTTTCATTTCCAGATTTCCCTCGGTTTGGGTTCTCTCTATTGATTCTATTTCTGCTTTCCAGTTATGAACCATTTTATTCATTTCCTTCCGCTGTTTGCCTGTGCTCTCACTGATTTCTCTAAGGGCTTTTCTTTTATTCCCTCCTTAAGAACCTCTATTCTATTCATGGAGGCTGTATTAAATCTCATTGTCTAGTGCTTCTGCTCTGCTGCAACATTCTGGGCTTACTGTGGCAGGGATACTGGGCGCTAATAGAGACACATTGTCCTGGCTTTCACTGTGTTTTTATGCTTGCATCTAGGCATCTTGGTTTGGAAAGATTATAATTCTAGGTACTGACATATGATCTTGCCTCTTTGGGGTGGGTGTTTTGGTCCTTGCTTTCTGATCCCCTCTCTGGGATAGAGCCGTGGCTGTGTGTTCCCTGGTAAGAAGTCTTCCCGGGCTCCTGTTCATTGGGGGTTCCTGGTAAAATGTGTTCCTATTATTAAGAGCACAGGAAGCAGGTGCTACAGGGTCCACAGGAGGGAAGAAGGCACGATGCTCTGCTGTGATCTGCCTAGTGCTCCAGGAATGGGGGCAGGGAGTGGGAAGAGCTACCAAATGGTCTGCTACTGAGCTGGGATGAGACCAGGAGGTTGGTTATGGTGGAGAGGACGGAGAGTGAAGATATGAAGCTCGCCTACCTGCTTCCTAGGCCTAAGCAGCCTGCTGGTTACCAGGGAATGCCTCCTGGAGCTGGAGGCTAGGAGAAAGAGAGGAGCACGGGACAAAGACAGGAGGGGAACATCTGTGTGATCCCCTGGAGATGAGGGCAGGGAGAGAAGGGAGACTACAGCACCTGGTCTGCTCCAGAGCTGGCGTGAGACTTGGGGTTGGATTTGGAGGAGTAGAGGAAGGGGTAAAGATCTGCAGTTAGTCTGCTTGCTTTCCTGGACTGAGCCTGTCAAGCGTCTTTTAATATAGAGTCCAGATGCAACAGCCAACAGACAAGAACAAACGCAAACAGGAGAGAAACCTTTAAAAACTCTGCTAAGGAGATGTCCTTTCCGTCACACCATGTGTTGCTCAGGCTGAAAGCAGCTGCAGGCTTTGGGTTAAGATGAACTCTCCAGGGCGGGGAGATTTTTTGGACCGTGTGACCAATTCCATATCCAGTCTGAGCTTGTTGCTCAAATTATCTCAAATCATTTTCTTCTTCCAATACAGTAATGCTCAGACTGGGAGCCAGTTTTTTTTCCCCCATTGCAACAAGTGTCTGTTTCGGGAGCTCCAGTGTCCAAGCGAGGTGGGCGATCACTCTGGGAGCTCCTCTGTCCGTTCTGCGGGACATCCGGGCACTCTCTTTCCTTGTCACAGTTGAAAAGAGAATTTGAGGCCAGAAGTCATTTCCGTTCTGTTGGCTGCTAAGCACAGTTCTACCCCGGAACTCTACAGGCTCTCCACCTGTGACCCACGCATGCACCCCAACGGTGGCGAGACAGCTGGTAAACTCAGCAGCAGGGTGCACACCAGGATGCAGCTAACCTGGCAGATGTCGCCAAGGAAGGAATGCACCAGAGACTGAAACTCAGGCACTGAGTGAGGGTCTGGCCAAGGGAGGCCTGTGTCCTACGGCACCATCGCTCTGTCCCGAAGACCTAATGCGACAGGCTCCTGGGTTAAGGCAGGGTTCAGATTTCCCATAAACTCTTTGTACACTTTCACAAGTCACCGAAGGGCATCTGAACTTAGGCCCTAGAACGTTTGCAAACACCCTAGGCAGTGTGCTCACACACCTAACACGGGGGAAGGTAACATGGCCCTAGAACGTTTGCAAACACCCTAGGCAGTGTGCTCACACACCTAACACGGGGGAAGGTAACATGGCCCTCGTGTTTGAACGCAGCCTGCCAGTTCTTGTGCTAATATTCCAATCTTCAACACAGTGCTGACAACAAACAAAACCCAACAAATCATCAAAATGCTTTAAAACCAACTGGCAAGATTCGAGTAAAATTGGGTTTAAAAGTCAGTTCACCAGCTAGTTGGTATCTGGGATGCTGGAGCACTGAACAATGGATGTGTGCTTGCTGCTCATGAAAAATGTCAGGATGCAGATGAGTGCATAAAGCTAAAAGGTGTCTAAACTCGTAACAAGGAAAGAAAAAAAGCCATATTAAATGATAAATAAAGCATCCATAAATACTATGCAACATTTCTCCTGCCTCCCAGAGAAGTAATTTCACAGGTACCAAATCCATCTCCCTGTGTAAACCCCTAAGGACATCTAACTCCTTTAAAATATCTACAAATGGCATGACATTCAAATTTATTTTATCAATACAATCATTAAATAAGTTCTTGCTATAGTTAAATATTGAGCTGTTTGCAATTTTTCTGTTACTCTGATAAGAATAGCAGCAAGTTAGTATAGAAACACCAAGATATATTAATAAGCACAAGAAATATACAGTAGTTAGTTTCTTTAATTCCCTTAGAGCATTTTAAATTCTTTATCCCTCCCTAAAACAATGATCAACATAATAAAGTTTCTTAATAAATGTTCAGTGAGATGATTAATGCTCTTTATAATAATGTGGCATGAAACTTGTTTTTCATTTTAATTCTTGCTTTTATTGATAATATTTTTAATTCTTAATATTGTTGATAGTAGTAACAATGCAACCCATAAATGTTACAATTCACCTTTTCTCTATGAAATAATCCATCACCAAACACATAAACACAAAACAAAAGTACGCTGAAAGCTAAATCATTCTAAATACCTAAAGTTTAAACACTCAAAAATCACTCACACACACACACACACACACACACACACACACACCATGCAAAAGTTGGTTTATGCCTCCATCTGGTGGCTACAGAAATTAGCACATAGCTGCACAAAAGTGCTTCCCCAGGGAGGTAACTACAGAACACATCTGCCCAGAGATGTAGATCCAGGAAACGAGCATCTGACATGAAACTGTCCTCCTACCCGGTTAAGGTTGCCCCAGAGCAACCGTGCCTGCTTCCTTCTGCACAGTTTCACGAGCTTGACACAATCAAGCAGTAATAACATTAAATGGGCCTTTGTTTTAGCCTGCCACAATTTTTATCACCCTGTAACTGATTCCCATTTGTTATAAGAGGCGTCTACATCAGACCATAAGGAAGATAATAAAGAGAAGTCAGAAAGCCCCCATATGCTGCTATACAGAGTGTAAATTCATAAGGCATTTTGGTACTATTTAGCAGAGATGAATATGCATATAACTTATGAGCCATCAACTCCACTCCGGGTAAGAGCTCCTGAACAGTGGGTTGTGACCCCCAGGGCACATCCTAAAGAAAACACACTGATGCCAATCAAAGGGTGATTTGGATGGCTCAAAAGTGTATCTTAGTTGTAACCAGTTGCTAGCTAAAATTAAGCATTTCCTTTTGTGATAAAGGTATCTACGGTAGTTTGAATAATAATTGGCTCCCATAATCTCATAAGGAGTGGCACTATTAGGAGATGTAACTTTGTTGAAGTGGGTGTGGCCCTGTTGGAGGAAGTGTGTCACTGTAGGGGTGGGTTTTGAGGTTTCCTATGTTCAAGATACTGCCTAGTGTCTTAGTCAATGTCCTGCTGTCTTCTGGTCAAGATGCAGCCAGGACCATGTCTGCCTACATGTCACCATGCTCCCCCACCATGACGATGATGAGCTGAACTTCTGAAACTGTGAGTCACCCCAATTAAATCTTTTCTTACAAGAGTTGCCATGACTGGGCACTGATGGGCTCATGCCTTTAATCCCAATACTTGAGAGGCAAAGGCAGGCAGATCTCTATGAGTTCAAGGCCAGCCTGGTCTACAAAGTGAGTTCCAGAGCAGCCAGGGCTGTCACACAAAGAAACCCTGCCACAGAAAAAGCAAAAAACAAAGATAGTTGCCATGGTCATGGTGTCTCTTCACAGCAATAAAAACCCTAACTAAGGCAGGAGGCAATAAACACTATCGTGGTGATATATTGTCTGTAATTTATTAAAACTTGACTGAGAAAGCAAAGTCAGCCACAAGCTATAGAGATCAGGCAGAGGACGTATACACCTTTAATCCCATAGCTTGGGAGATATAGGTAGACAGATCTCTGCTAGTTCAAGGCCACACTGAACTACTCAAAACTGATCCAGTTCTAATGAGAAACAGCTCACACAAAGATGATCTCAACCCCTGAGATCACACGCCTTTCTTTAATCCCAGCCCTAGAAACGTATATAAAAGCCAGGAGCCCAGTGTCTCAGACTGCATTCTGAGATAGTCTCTGGATTCTCCCCAGCTACACTGAGGAGAGGCAGCAGTCTGAGGCTTGGTGAAGAGCTCATGGTTCAGTCCTTTCAGCCTGAGGTAGAGGGAGAGCTAGTGGCTGACTGCTTTTTCTTTTCTGAACCTCGGCTTGAAGCCTGAACCCCAATATCAATCTCTGGGTCTTTCACTTACCATGTTACACAGTATCATTCTATAGGATAGATCATAAATATTATGTTCTAATTACATTTGTTACAAATATATTAAAATCCCCCCTTATCCTCATCATTAAAATTGTCTTGCATCCACCGTGAAAATTTGCTATTCTATGCCTACTGTCTACTTTCTTTGAAACTTTGCTTTTATGTTCCCATCGTTTAAGCTCTTTCCTCATATTCATTTCTTTATCATTTGTTTCCCTTGCAACTCTGTGAGTGTTAAACATGTAGAAACATCAGAGACCAGTGTGCTCATAAGGTTTGCCAAGGGTTCTTGCTACACTAAGAATGATTAGAGATGCCTTACAGAAAGGCCCTGGTGGAGCTATTAACAGTCACCTAACGGGGGTCACCTCTGCTCTGCCAGAGAGAATCATGGGTAGGCAAGGAAAATGAGCTACTTTCATTTCTCCCTATCTGGCAGCCGTCAACGCCAGCAGCTGGTGGGAGCGATGGCAAACCATACCGCCCCTTCCCTGTGACAGTTCTTACTGAGCGCTTCAGCTTGGGTAGGCCTAGGAAGTGCTTGGCTATTGGCTCTATTGCCTAGGGACTCAGGTCAGGGATAAAGAAAAACATATCAATGAATGCAAGAAGGGAAAGAATCTTGTACTAAGATTAAGCCAACTGGCAGTTGCTGTGGAGTAAGCCTTCTGTGCACTGTAAGAATCACTCTCATTGGTTAGTAAAGAAGTTGACTGCCCTATAGCAAGGCAGGAGAAAGTTGAGGGGAGGGTCAATCAAACTGAGGCTACTGGGATGAAGAGGGGCAGAGTCAGAGAGTCGCCAACAGACACGGAGAGAGCAAGATGGGCATGCCATAGCGAGAAAAGGCACCAAGCCATGGGGCAAAGCGTAAATAAGAAATATGGGTTAATTTAAGTGCGAGAGTTAGCTAGTAACAAGCCTGAGCTATTGGCTGAGCATTTGTAATTAATACTGAGTCTCCGTGTCAGTTACTTCGGAAGCGGTTGTGGTGCAGGGAAACTTCCGCCTACCGGTGGTGGCTGAAATTAGATGCTTTCTCGTGTGTGAGAGAGGGTAAGGAGGGCTTCTAGTGTGGTTTGCCCCGGGCCACATCACTTTCATTCGCCACGGTCAGTCCGTGCCTTCTAACCCAACCATGTACTCAGTCCACTATAGCCACGTTCCATGGAGCAGACAGACGGTGGGAAGAAATGAAGGGAACAAGCTTGCTTCCCTCCTCCTTCAGTCATTTGCGTTACTGTACAGACATTCCCTAGGGGTTAAGACTGTCCTGTGACCACAACGAGCTAAGTTTCTAGTACTGATCTTGTTTCAATGCCAATAGATAAACGGATACTCTCTCTCTCTCTCTCTCTCTCTCTCTCTCTCTCTCTCTCTCTCTCCCTCCCTCCCTCCCTCCCTCCCTCCCTTCCTCCCTCCCTCCCTCTCTCTCTCTCTCCATCTTCCTCCACCACTTTTAACTCTTAGTGTTACACTGTATTGTGTCCATTCATGCTGCTTACTAATTCCCTAATGAACAGCACACACTGGACCCAGGACCCAGTGAGAAAGATAACAAAATCCGTACATACTCAAGTCCCTTCTCTCGCATTTGCATATAACATACTGCCTGTACCTTTAAATCAGTTATCTCAGGCCATGCAAATACTGGTTATACTCTATTGTGTGGTTAATGCAAGAGAAAACGTCTGTACATATCCAGAACAGATAATTTCCCCCCATTATTCTCTTATCTCTGGTTACATCCACAGATGCTCACCTCAGCTACATGGAACTGACTGTATTTTCTCTGCCGTCATGGTTTATACAAATTGTAGACTCCAATGGGGGAAAGAACCACCTTTTTTTTCCACTCCTACAGTTTCTAGGAAACTGCCTGCAGCGTAAAAGAAATGTGATAAGCATTAATTGGATAAGTAAATGAACTGTTAACTTGGGGCTGAAAAAAAAAACAATCTGACAGATTTTAATCAGGTAGATGTTGTCTTTATATAAATGATACTTGGTTTAAATTTGCTGGGTTAGGAAATAATGTCTTCAGAAAAAAATGCTAAATTCTTCTAGGATTACTAATTTTTAACCCCCCATCTAAGAAAACCCCTTCCACAAGGCACCCCAATAAAACCATACCTGATAAGCCTCTAGTTCTTTCCAGTCTCTAACGATATAAGGAATGTCACTTAAATTACTATTACGAAGAAGACTCATAAATTACAATGTAGATTAATGTGTTGATAATGCAGGCAGGTGCTATGAAGTGATCTAAATTCTCGTCTTTCTACTAAACGGACATTATCAGGAAATAGAAAACTACAAAACACCAGAGTACACCTAACAGAGACGTAACCATAGGCAAAAACAAAACTAGCTATAACATGTTAGAAGAAGTTAATCTGGGCACCAATGATCACACAAGGAGTATCTAATAGGTCAGCTGTTTTAAGTAGCATAGAGCAGTGTGCTTTTGGTCCCTCTGCGTATTAACTGTGAAGGGTCTCACTTCAGGCCTGTGACCCCACTGTTGTGGGCACCGGGAAAATTAACCCATCTTTATTCATAGCCGCCCAGGCCATGCTAGGAGTCAACAGGGATGCTGAGTTTTCTGAGATAAAGATGAAGGCTCCGGGTCGGTGCCCTGGGTCCCACATCCATCCACACCACGCCCCAACATTTTGGAGTGTTAGTGCCCTCGGGGGCTTAAAGTGGTGGCCCAGGGTGTGGAATTGCACCAAGCTCAGAGTTCTTCTGATTGCAACATCACCTCTGACGTCAGGGCCCGAATTTTCTACAACAAAGGCCAAGCAAAGGGTAGGAGCCTCTGCCCTTACGGAGGAGCCGCCCTGCCAAGCCCTGTACCCCCAGCTAAACGGAGCGGGAGCACCAAGAAGGGGAAGAGTCCCTGCGCCTGGCCGGCTGCCATCTTCCTGCGAGCCCCAGGCCATGGCCATGCTGGCACTCCGAAGCTGCCTGGGCAAGGCACTGATAGCCCCGCGGGCGCTGGCGACTCAGGTAGGAGACACCGGCCTGCAGGGAGGTGGGCGGAGCTGTGTGCGGTGCAGGTGCTCTTGGTGAGGTTTGGCTCTACTCGGGTGCCTCGGTTCCCGGGCACCTGTGGGTCCTAGCGAGGGACCACCTTGCCCAGCAGTGCCCAGCAGTTAGGGGAGGACTGGAGCCTCGGGAAGTTCGACTAAGATACGATGAGATGTGCACCAAAGGGGACCACCATCCAACCCAGCCCTAGCTGTTGAGCACCGGCTTAGCCTGGGGATGAATCCAGTTCTTTCCCGTTTGGGACTAGGACTTGACCCAAATAGAGAGAATCAGGATAGTACAGAACCATGTAAACCTTCAAGAAGAGACTAGTAACTGCTCACCCAGCGTAATATCATCAATTATTTCCTTACAGTTTTTCTCTGATCATTGTTTTTGTTTTTCTTTTGTTTTAACCACCATTCTCTTTTTTCCCCTCTATATATGTTTTTATTTAAATTAGAAACATGAATGCTTCACATGTCAATCCCAGCTCCCTCTCAAACCCCTCCTCTCTTGTCCCTCTGTCAGCCCCCCCAGCCCCCCACCCAATCCCCACATCATTCCCCCAGGGAAGGTGAGGCCCTCCTTGGGGGGGTCTCCAAAGTCTGTCATTTCATCCAGGGAAGGACCTAGGCCCTTCCCCATGTGCCCAGGCTGAGAGAGCATCCCTCTATTTGGAATGGGCTCCCAAAGATCATTCATACACCATGGTAAACACTGATCCACTACCCAAGGCCCCAGTGATTTCTATGGCCTCCTCACTAGCACTACTTTCATGGAATCTAGATCAGTCCACTGTTGGCCTCTCAGGCATCAGTCTGGGGTTCAAGAGCTCCCCCTTTCCCGGTCAGCTGTCTTTGTGGGTTTCACCATCATGGTCTTGACTGCCTTGCTCATCATTCCTCCCTCTCTGTCACTGGGTTCCAGGAGTTCAGTTCAGTGTTTAGCTGTGGGTATCTGTCTCTGCTTCCATCAGCCACTGGATGAAGGTTCTAGGATGGCATATAGGGTAGTCGTCAACCCTATCATCAAGGAGGGGCTATTAATGTAGTCTCTCCACTATTGCTTAGTTTGCCGGTTGATGTTATCCTTGTAGATCTCTGGAGATCTCACTGGCGCCGGATCTCTCCTCAAACCTATAATGACTTGGTCTATTATAGTGTCTCTCATCCTGCTCTCCTCTATTCTTAGCTGGACTCAACCTTCCTGGTCCCCCATACCTTCTTCTCCCCTCCTCTTATCCCCCTCTCTTTTTCCTGGTTCCCTCTCCCCTCCCCCGATGTCCCCAATCTGTTCAGGAGATCTTTCCTCATTCCATTTCTCTGGGGTATCATGCATCTCTCTTGGGAATCTCCCTGTTTCCCAGACTCACTGGCACTGGGATTGTAGGCTGACACTCCCCTGATTCATGTCTATAATCCATATATGAGTGAGTACATACCATGTTTGTCTTTTTGTGACTGGGTTGCCTCACTTAGGATGGTTTCTTCTAGTGCCATCCATTTGCATGCAAATTTCAAGATTCCTTTGTTTTTTTTCTGCTGAGTAGTACTCCATTGTGTAAATGTACCACATTTTCTCTATCCACTCTTCAGTTGTGGGGCATCTAGGTTGCTTTCAGGATCTAGCTATTACATATAATGCTGTTAGGAACATAGTGGAGCAGACATCCTTGTTGTGTGAATGGGCATCTTTTGGGTGGAATTGCTGGGTCTTGTGGTAGGCTGAATCCCATTTTCCTGAGGAATCTCCATACTGATTTTATGGGGGAAGTCCTGTGTATATGTCAATAAAGCACTGTTGGCCAATCGGGAAGCAAGATAGGTGGGACTAGAAATCGAGGAGTATGCTGGGAAGGAGAAACACAGGGAGTCAAGATGTAACTGCCATAGGGATAAGAAGCCTGGAAACCTCTCCAGTAAGAGAAATACTTAGATTAACAATTATGGGGTAAATACTTAAGTCAGAGCTAGCCAGTAAGAAACAAGGCCAACAGCTTCATAATTAATACAGTGTCTTGTGTGTTATTTGGGGACTACAACGCGGCAGAGCCCAGGTGACTGGCGGGTGATAAACCAAAGCTGCTGGCAAGGAAAAGCCTCCCTTTATGCTGATTTCCATAGTGGCTGTACCAGTAGGCACTCCCACCAGCAACGGAGGAGTGTTCCCCTTTCTCCACACCCTCTCCAGCACAAACTGTCATTGGTGTATTTGATTTTAGCCATTCTGACAGGAGTGAGGTGGTATCTCAGAGTTGCTTTGATTTGCATTTCCCTAATGGCTAATGATGTTGAGCACTTTCTCAAGTATCTCTCAGCCATTTTAGACTCCTCTATTGAGAATTCGCTATTTAGTTCTGTACCCACTTTTTCATTGGATCCTTTGGTGTTTTGGAGACTTGATTCTTGAGTTCTGTGTAGATTTTGGAGATCAGCCCTCTGTCAGATGAACCGCCATTCTCTTTAATGAGTCAATGCTGGTCAAGAGTGAGTCTAAGTTGCAGGTGATGAAGCATATGATTTCTCCCCAGCATAGCTCTGCCTCTGCAACAGGAATCTGGAAAATTGTTTCTATCTAGTCACACACCTCTCTGTGGGTTCCCTCCTATGTCTTGTGTCCTGGAAATAATAATAATAAAAGTGTGTGCCTTTGACAATTATTTCATTCTCTAAATGTACACTCACTCTTTGAATCAACCAACCTATACAGTATTTTGAATGCCATTGACTTGCTTTCGATGTTTTATTCATTTTAAAACTATAGATAATAAGCAGTTCTAATAATCCCATTTGTAGATTATGGCTAAAAAAAACACAGAGACTCAAAAGTCCATCAAATGCAGGGTCAGCTGCAGATTTTTATAGGAAGTTTGCTGATTTGCACAGCAAGAATACATTTCAGAGTATATATGAATGGAATGGACTAAAGGAAGAAAATTATATTAAGCTAAGTATTTTTAAGTAAAAATGTATCAAGAGGAAAATGATTGCTTTTTCTATCCATACTAAGTTGTCTGTGTATGCAGTGGTTTTTTCCATACTTCTATATGCATCTGATCTGTTTCAACAGATTTTTGTGCTATTATTAGCTTCATGAAGTGGGTGCATGATAGCCCAACTTGAAAATAAAATGAGTTTTTACAGCATATATGTGCATATGTACAGATATACACAAGGTAATTTCTGGTCAAGTATTTCCTAGGGAGAAGTGCTCTCAGAACAAGAAATAGAAACTTACATGGTAAATATGATTGGTTTTTAAAAGATAATACCTGAGAGGCATTTTTACCACGCTGGTACAACTAAGTACATTAAAGCTCATCTTTGCTTTGTGTTCCTTGCTAGAAACCAATAGTGATTCAGGCAATTCTGACATTTCTGATTTTTTAGCATTCTTGGTCCATTACTGTGGTTCTCAACCCCTTTGGGTTCGCATATTGGATATTTATATTATTACAATTCATAACAGTAGCAAAGTGACAATTATGAAGTAGCAAGGAAAAATCGTTGGCTGGTTGGGGTCACTACGGCATGAGAAACTGTATTAAGGGTTGCAGCATTGGGGAGGCTGAGAACCACTGGGGTGTTGCCAAACTTTGTAATGCAGCTGGATATCGATAGCGCCCTGATGCATCGCCTACATTCCAGTTCTCTTTCTGCCGAGTGTAGGAAGAATTCTTCGACCTGAGTGTCAACTTCTCTTTTGTAAAATGTTTTCTTTTAGTAAACATGTTTATTGTGTGTGCCCAAAGACATACAGTCCACAGAGCTCTTCCAGATACGTAACTGTGGTGACACACGCTGTAGATTAAAAGAATATAAGGGAGAAACCAAATGTATCTGGATCCTACCTGTGGATCTCTATCCCAGGAGCATCTCTAAGATACCACTGCCTTAGCTTGGGGCAGCTTTCCATAACAAGGTGGCTTAAGGAGACTCCACATGCTTGACCGTATTATCTTCAAAATCTACTATAATACATCTACGCAGAGTTGAAAGAAAAATGCCAACAGGGCTTGTGATTCAGCTATTGTGTCTCCTGTCACCAGACTCAGATATTGTTGGAAGGTAACACAAATTCCATCCTCCCCCATAATGAGATTTGATTTCTCTTTCTTCAGGTGTGCTCATCTTTTGCTACTGGCCGAAGACAAACCGAAGGAACATTCTATGAATTTTGTACTTATTATATTAAACCCTCAAAGATAAAAGAGTTCCTGGGCAATTTTAAGAAAAATGTTCATCTCCGGACATCTCACTCTGAATTGGTTGGATATTGGAGTGTAGAAGTTGGAGGCAGAATAAACAGAGTGTTCCATATTTGGAAGTATGGTATGAATTGCCCAGTTCAAATGTTCAGTATAGATCTTTATCCTGGTAGATGCTACAGGAGTATGGTGACATGTTATTTATGATTTAATAAAGCTTGCCTGAGGGTTCAGGATGCAAAGCCAGCCACACTAGTTAGCTACAGAAGCTACACGGTGGTGGCACACACCTTTAATCCCAGGACTCAGGATTAAGTGGTAGAGGGGTCTGTGTTAGTTCAAGGCCACAATGACTACACAAAATTGATCCAGTCCTAAAAGAAACAGCTCGCACATAGGTGATCTCAACACTTAGGATCATACCTCCCAGCAGTAGGTAGGTATAAAAAGCAAAGGGTCTCATGGAGATTTAGTCTCTAGCCACACTGAGGAGAGCATAGCAGTCTGAGTGACTCTGGGGAGCAGTGAAGTCGGGAGCAGTCTGAGCATCGGCCCTTTGGTCTGAGCTGAGGTAGAGTAAGAGCTACTGGCTTGGCTGCTTTGCTTCTCTGATCTTCAGCTTGAAGCTTGAGCCCCAATATCAGTCTCTGGGCCTTTTATTTTCTGTGTTACATAGGAGTCTTAAATGGATATACATTAATGTATCTGATGCTAGACCTGGATATCACTGTCTCAGGGGAAACCGATTACACATTGAGGATTTTGAGTTAATGGAGGTTGAGAGGGGATGACAATCAGCTTTTGACCTTCCCTCAACCCTGAAGCTTATTGGTTCTATTGCATTTAAAGTCTGTTTTCAGTTGTCTCTACATCCCAGAGTCTTAATGAATTTGCTGCCATTTATTTTAAGAAGCTAAGGGAAATACATTACTAAGAGTTCTCATACTGCAACCGCACTACCTTGAAAAGGGAGAACATTACAAAATTATTCAGAATGCTTGTTAACTTTTTAAAGATCTAATCTTAAAATAGCCTACACTGGGGTTTGAGCATGTTCAGCAAACTTACTAATAAATGCATTTAGTGTTTGGTCATCTATGTTCAATTAATGTTCACAAAATTCTTTAATGAGAAAAGATTCTGTGTGTGGCATGGGTATACTTTGGTTTGGTTTGGTTTGGTTTGGTTTGGTTTTGAAGGACAACAAACACCATTAGCCCAACTTATGTTTCACACGTGGTTCATGTTAAGCATAGCCCATTGGGGGAAAGCATTGAAGTCCTAGTTTACCTCCCTTTAGGATAGGTTATTCCTATCCCTAGCACATGCTACATAAATATTCACCGTAGTCTCATGAGGCCTTTACCATAAATATAGTATTCGGCCCATACACTGGTAAGCATGTCGCATGTCACCTGTTTCAGTAACTGAGAGAGCAGAGATGTGGGTGCTAGGGAGGAACAGGAAGTGACAGTAGTGTGAGAACCAGCTATTTCTCTGGAAGTTATTTGTGCAGAGGAGACAATGCCAAGTGCCTTCAAATGTCACTTAATGTTAACATTGACTCAAGATACATCTTGACTGCCTACCCTCAATACCGAAGTAGAATCTGTCTTTCAGCTGGCACCGTCAGTTGAATGCCTCAGTTGCATAGTAAGAATGGTCAGTCCACATGTAAGCGTTAAACACCATTGTAAGCCCTCTTTATTCACTTAATCCTCACCACACATCTGGAGGTTGATGTTATATTATTTACGTACCACAGGCTGAGAAACTAAGTCAAGAGGCACACAGTGACTGACTCCCATACACAGTGACTGACTCCCGTACACAGTGACTAACTCCCGTACACAGCTGCCTTTGGAGAGGCAGCACCGGTGAAGCCCATTCAATGAGATCACAATATTGTTTCCCCTTCTTCTACCCTGAAGACCCGGGGCAACTTGAGGCACACATGAAAGTTCTTTACAGACCTGTTCCCAAATCCACAGCACAGTGTTCTGTGTGCTCCAGATGAATGATTAACGATTTGGGTGTAGGTCGGGTACTGGTGGCACATGCCTATAATCCCAGCACTTGGGAGGCAAAGGCAGGCAGATCTCTGTGAGTTCCAGGGCAGCCTGGTCTACAGAGCGAATTCCAGGACAGCCTCCAAAACAAAACAGAGAAACCCTGTCTTTAAAAAAAATATTTGGGTGTAACACAAAGAAGTATAGATGGTTTTAAACCAATTTTTACAAACTTTTCTTCATTCTTTTCTACCATAGATAATTTTGCTCATCGAACTGCAGTTTACAAAGCCTTGGCCAAAGATAAAGAATGGAACGAACGATTCTTCATTCCAAATTCGACTTCCATTGAAAAACAAGAAAGTGAAATTGTCTATATGGTACCATGGTGCAAAATGGGACATCCTCCTAAGGAAGGTGTGCCTCTCTTAGTCCCTGTGTGTTTTCATGACTAAAATGGTACAGATGCTAAATGCATTTTTTGTTTGTTTGTTTTTGTTCTTCGAGATAGGGTTCCTCTGTATAGCCTATAACTCAACCTGTAGATCTGTCTGACCTTGAATTTACAGAGATCCACCTGCCTCTGCCTCCAGAGTTCTGGAATTAAAGGCATGGGCCGCCACCACCAGGCCAGATGTTAGGTTCCAATGTACATTTGTTATATTAAATATATTTGTAAATTACACCCAATTTAAAGTCACTATGTTTTTCCTAGAAAACGGGTCATTTGCAGGAACTGATTAAGTGGAATTCCCAAGCTCTATTACTATAATCATTTTTGTCTTCCTCTTTCTTACTTTCAGATTGACAATAATTCTTGGCCTTCTTGTTAATTTCACTTCTTGTGTATTTAAAGAGACTATTACCTCAGTCTAATTTTAACCAGAAATAAGACTAGAAAAGCATAAACTAATTAGAATTTTATTTTTCGTTGTTCTCAACTTTGTAGTATGTTTTAGAAGACACTGCAAAGAAACCTGAACAGCCTTATTTGGATCCTACCCACTTGGGCCTCCTACCACCCCTTAGTACTATCTAAATAAAATAATTGTCTTCTCCATTGGATCTTCTTGCAACCTGGTTCTTTGTCTCTGCTGATTCTATAATTCTGTGCAGAAATAAAATACATTTCAAATATGTAGTTAAAATAGTTAGGAAGAGCAAAATTAAATCTACAAGTTGGTTTGTTTTTCCAAAATAGGAAAATATAATTATCACTTCTGTTGCACTATCCTATTTGGATAGGAAAACTTACAGTGGCAAAATATACAAAGGCTGAAGAATAAACACATAGGCACTGAAGAAAAAATGTATTTTATTTTGTTGTTAACCAAGGATTTTATGCATTCATGGCAAGTGCTCTATCACTGAACTACCTCTCCAAATCCATGAAAAATTATTTTAAGGTCTTTCTAAAAGTATATACTTAGGCCATTCAAAATATCTTACTCTACTAATTCCTCAATGTCTACTCAATGTTGTTATACTAAAATAGTTCAGATAATTTTTTAATTCTTTTGTAACTATTTTAATGTATTCTGTCTCTCTCACATGTGTGCGTGCGTGTGTGCATAAATGTATGTGTCGCGAATGCAGAAACCTGCTGTGGAAACGGGAAGTGTGAGATACACTGGAGCTGGTTACAGGCAGCTGTGAGCTTCCTACATGGGTTCTGGGAGCTGAACCCTGGTCCTCTGCTCTCAAAAACTCTTAAGGTCCTTTGCCTCACAAGCTTTCGCTCAGGGTTCAGAAAAAGAGAAACACTACAGGAGCTGTAGGATCTAAGCCTGCAGGCTACAGAAAAGAACCTTCTCACAGAGTCCATTCTCCACGTGAGCTCTTCATTGTTCCCTCTTTCCTGTTCTCTAATTCTTCTGTCCTGATGTCTACAATTTCTTAGCTCTAATTCTCTCTCTTTCTTCTTCTCTTTCATTTTCCTGCTTACTTACCTTTCTTACCCTTTTGAATTTCTGCTCATTTCTCCCAGCTTCTCCCTCCAGCTCCTAACTCTCTAGTCTTCCCTCTCCAAATCACTCTCGCTCTTCTCTCATTCTGCCATGCTGCAAGTTTTCCAGCTACTAGACAGTTACAATCAGCAATTCTCTGGCTCCAGCCTGGTGCAAGGCTAGAGTTTATCAGGGTTATAGAAACAGATAAAAGTTGTTCACAAAGCAGTAACTGTCAGCCTTTCTCTATGGCTCAAGGTGGGAGTGCTTTAAAAGCTTCCAAGAACTTCTTAAAGGGAAAGGAGGTTAATTAAGGGAGAGAGAGGTAAGTCATTAGGGAAATACATGTGCTTTGTTAGTCTCTTAAATGTGACTAGGTAAATAAGCTAAAGATTACAATCAGTGAAAATCATGAGCAAGGCAAGAATGATCTTTAAGAAGTTGCTTTAAGGTCAATGTGAGGTTAGCTTGGAACTCACTATTTGCTGGCAGAGTGAATCCAGGATACTCTTGTTCTCTGTCTCTCTGAGACCTATGTCTCAACAACTTCAGACATGCTGTAATTCTTGTCCTTGCGTGTCTGTGAATGTCTCAATTAAAATATACCAATGCATAGGGGAAAATGTGCCCAGTAACTGGAGTTTTTTGAGATGAATCCCACCATGGAAAGGGAATGCCATGGCTTCCCAGCGAATTTACAGTAAGGACAGTCATTATTAAAGAAGCAAATACTCCCACCCACCGCCCTGCTTGTGGGCCTCCTTCATTGGAAAATGATCCCGAGGCAGGTGGGTGTTAGCTCCATGATGTGACAGCTGTGTTCTCACTGCATAATTGTGGGGCCAGCTCCTAACTACAGAACCAGCTCTCCAACCCTCACTGACCCCCTACTTTTTGTCATTTGTAGAATTAAGTGTAACAGCATAAATAAGTTTAAACATGGACAAGGGATTTCTGAGCATAAAATTCAGGGAAATGATGCAAATGTAATTACTGTGTCTGTATAAATGTGTATATGCAACCCTTCAAGTATGTACATGTGCATCAGGCTTCTGTGAAACCAAGTGAATATGAACATGAGTAGAAATTCCTCGACTGTCATTATTTAAATTATTTTTCTGTGTTCTAGGAGTCTATGAACTTGGTACTTTTCTTATGAAACCTGGTGGTCCAGCTCTATGGGGTGATGCATTTGAAAGAGCAGTGAATGCCCATGCCACTCAAGGCTACACTACATTGATTGGGGTGTTCCATACAGAGTTTGGAACACTCAACAGAGGTACAGATGTCCGTTTCTTTACAAATTTCCGTGTATATTGGTGACCTATTTGTGTGTTAGGATCCTTTGGTTAAAGTTCATGTATTATTGGCAAGTTCGTGTACTTTTATCATTTTAAAGAGTTGGTAAGTTGTCTTTCTTATTTAGAACTTAACACCTACCAAAACTGCTTTGAAATGCTAAACTTCTGTTTTCTGATACATAAAATAAACAAATCTTAACAACCATAAGAACCTCAAGAAATAGTGTATCTCTTTTATAATCTTTTTATTCCTTTAGATACATTATTATCAGTACTAGGGATTGACCCTAGGGCCTTATGCATGCTAGACAAATATTCCAACACTGAGCTATATCCCCTGTCCTGATTAGGTTTCTCTTCTGTGATAAAATACCATGACCAAAATCAACTTGGGGAGAGAAGGGTTTATTTAAGCTTACACTCCCCGTTACTAGGCCACCATGAAGAATTCAGGGCAGGAGATGATGCAGAACCCAGGGAACAGTGTTGCTTGCTGGATTGCTCTCCCTGATTTGCTGAGTCTGCTTTTTTATATGACCCCAGGTATTCTTTCCCAGACCAAGAGTGACACCATCCCCAGTAGGCTGGTATTTTCCACACCAATCATTTTTCAAGGAAACGGTGCACAGGCTTGCCTCAGTCTCTCTGATGGAGCACATTTTCTCAGCTGAGGCTCTGTCTCCTCAGATGCCTCAAGCTTTGTGTCAAAACTTAACGCAATTGGCCCATTGTCATCTCGACATACAAACACATCATTATTAAATCATAAACTTCCCTTTCCTGTTTGTCCCCAAGATGTCATGGTCACATTATCACAGTATAGAACCCAGTGTTACTTTAAAACTCATACCACCTTTAGAAGTGTAATCTCTTTCAAATATCCAGAGTCTCTTAACTCTGGGCCCTTGTGAAATCTGATTCCAAGATGAAAGAGCCAGAGCGCGGTATCAAATTCAAAGCAAACCCAATATTTAACGGCGTGAAAAGTGTGGTGCCTGACATCTGGGACCTGTTCATGAGTCGATGGTCTGGGCTCCAGAGGGCTGGGGATGCCCGACTCCTGAGTTTTGCCAACCTCAGGACACACCACACTGGCCTGCTCTGCTCCACAGCCGCCGCTGGCCCAGACAGTGTTCCACTACCCAGGCATCTCCAAGAGGCTGCAGCTGAGGCTGCATTCTCACCAGTGACCTCTCCTGGAAATTCTCCAGGGTCCCCAGACCTGGTGGCACACAGTGCCAAGTCCCGGCTGCTCTCCAGGACCCCTGCATGCTTTCAAAACCAGCACCACTAAGGTGACCCTTACACATTCAGGCTCAGCGGCCAGCGCGAGACGCAGAACTACAGTGAAATGAAATACAAGGCAGGAAGTCGCACATACAGTCTGGGGCCTGATCTCACCGCACTTCCCTTTCCTCGCCCGCCTCATTTCTGGTCTATGAAGCCAGTCCCATGAGTTGATCTGTCGTTTTCCTCTGACTCCTCAGACGTCTTGTCACTGAAATGCTTAGGGTCACTTTTTTATCTTAGAGTTATTGGGCTTTATTTCTAACTTCTGTGTGTGTGTGTGTGTCACGTTTTTATCTTAGAATCATTGGACTTTATTTCTAACTTCTCTGTGTGTGTGTGTGTGTGTGTGTGTCACGTTTTTATCTTAGAGTCATTGGACTTTATTTCTAACTTCTGTGTGTGTGTGTCACGTTTTTATCTTAGAATCATTGGACTTTATTTCTAACTTCTCTGTGTGTGTGTGTGTGTGTGTGTGTGTGTGTGTGTGTGTCACGTTTTTATCTTAGAGTCACTGGGCTTTATTTCTAACTTCTTTGTGTGTGTGTGTGTGTGTGTGTGAGTGTGTTGTGAGAGTGTGTTGTGAGAGTGAGTGTGTCTGCATCCGTGTGTGTGTCAACGCCTTTTTGATTCTCTTCTGCAGTTCACGTTCTCTGGTGGAGCGAGAGCGCGGACATTCGCGCGGCTGGGAGACACCGATCTCATGACGACCCCAGGGTCGTGTCTGCTGGTGAGCTGTTTCCCTGGGCAGGGATCACTTTTAAAACACCTTTGATTTGGCTCCTAACTCTGTATGTCTTACGCGATGTTTTTCCAGTCCGGGAGAGTGTCAACTACCTGGATATCCAGCAGAACGTGCTCCTGATTCCGGAGCCGTTTTCCCCATTGAGGTAGTTTCCTTCAGCTGACCCTGCTGCAGCTCCCTCAGGAGAACTATTTCTGCTCTGCATTCATGGGAGTGGTGAGTTAACTCCGCCCCTGCCTGTCTGAAGCTCCTCCAGGTCTCTTTTACCAGACCCATCTCTACGTCGGAAACAGAATTTATTTTCTCCATGCCTCTTCGTTATCTGTCAGGCACAGAAAACAACTAATCCAAAAACAATGTTGTTTAGCCCCAGCAAAATCTTTGAAGACTCATTCATTTATAAGCTGAAGTGCCTTACTATTAATTTTCCTGATATTTACTTAACCCAGATGCTTTCTAACAAAGATGCCTGGTCACTGTATCAAGATCTTTGTTTTCCGTTTGTTTCAGAATAGCTCCTCTGTAGAACAAGACATTGTTCAAATGAGATCACATTTCCAAGCTTGTGATATTTTTAAATTATTAATAAATATGTGAAAGTTCTTAATTTTGTCTTTTTACCTGAGGTGTTTTACTCCAATAGCTTATTTTATAATGTAAATGTGATTCACATGAAAAACTGTATAATCATACATGTTGTCTGCATTGTCAGTCGCTCACTTGGAAAATAATAGATCAGCACACTAAAAGTTTCGATGACTCTAGCTTATAGGCTGAAATGTTATTTATAATTAATACTTATTTCATTTTTATCCTAACAAAATGCTTGAGATAGCTTTATTTAAATGAGGTCATTATAGACATGGAAACATTTGCCCTAACTTAAAAAAAAAACCTATATATTCTGATGCTTTTTTTACTAGATTTTACATTTCCAGCATTCTCTTTAGAATAGATTTAATGCAGTGGAAGGAATAATTTGTTGCCCTTACTGTGAATGTGCTTACATTAAGGAAATGTCATGCTACTTGTGACAGTCTGGGTCAAGCATGTTGCCCCTCCCACGTCTCATCGGCTGAAGCCTTGATCATACTGGGAGGTGGTAAGAACCTTAAGAGGAAAGGCCTAGAGGAAGAAAATGCGTCTCTGGTCTTGGGCCCTGGGAAGGTATATTGGACCCCTTCCACTGACTCTGTGATATACTACCCCGGAGCAGTCCAAAGAGCAACTGTGCTAAGGAACCGTACCCTAAAGCCCCTAAAACCATTAAGCAAAATCCACCTTTCTTCTTCTAACTTTATTGTTCCCAGGGGTTTTGTCATGGCCAGGCCTTTCCCTGTTCCACCAGGAGTGTAGGATCACTTCATCACAACTACAAACGTGTTTATCCCTCACCGTTTGGGAAGGATTGACATGAGCCTCACTTTTGGGCATAGCAGCCTGCCCCACTGGGCAGAAAGGATGGGCAGTATCTTGGTGCTGTTTCTGTTGTAATGGCAGGTATGTGACAGGTTCTCTGTACCTCACTTCCCATGCAGAAGAGACCCATGATGGTCTGGGTAACTCCAGTTGTGGCGCACTTCTCTTCTCCGGCAGAGATCTTGTCTCTGCAAAAGAAGGACGTAGTAGCATCACTGAGGAGGGCCTGGACTGTCTGAACGCATTGGGAGCACGGGATCTCACTGTGCAGCCTAGGCCAGTCTAGAACTCAATGTGTGGCTAATGATTTCCTCAAGCTCCTGTCTTCCAGTCCCCACTTCTGTGCTGGTATAGTTTTATGTCATCTCGACACTATCTACCATCATCTGAGAGGAGGGAATGTCAACTGAGAAAATGCCTCCATAACATCTGACTGTAAGTAAGTTTGTGGGGCATTTTCTCAATCACTGAATGAGGTGGCCTCTCATTGTGGGTGGTGCCACCCCTGGGGCTGGTGGTCCTTGGTTCTATAAGCAGGCAAGATGAGTAAGCGATAGGGGATCCAGCCAATAAACAGCACCCCTCTGTGGCCTCTGCATCAGCTCCTGCCTCCGGGTTCCTGCCCTGCTTGAGCTCCTGTCCTGACTTCCTTCAATGATGGACTACGATGTGAAGTATAAGCCACATAAACCCTGGCCTCCCCAAGTTGGTTTTGGTCATGGTGTTTCATCACAGTGATAGTAACCCTAACTAGGACAGCTTCCTAAATGTTGGGATTACAGGCCTGTACCATCATAGAGGCAGATCTCTGGGAGTTTGAGGCCAGTCTGCAGAGTGAGTTCCAGGACAGCCAAGGCTACACAAAGAAACTGCCTTGAAAAACAACACGAAGTCGTCTCTAAAGACTGAACTCTCTTCAATCTAATCAGAACCAGCCTCTGACATACAAGATACTCATTGATCTGTATGGCAGACACTACATGTTGAAAGTCATGGTTAACAAGACAAAGTACCTGCTTTCATGTGGTCAGTATTCCTGAAGTGAAGAGGCAGGAGCCAGCTCACATAGAGCTGCTAAAGAGTTGGGATTTTCTTTTCTTTCTTTTTATTTAAATTAGAAACAAGCTTGTTTCACAGGTCAATCCCAGTTCCCTCTCCCTCCTCTCCTCCCCTGCACATCACCAACCCCCTTTACCATCCCCTTTCTGCTCCCCAGGGAGGGTGAGACCTTCCATGGGGGATCTTCAAAGTCTGTCATATCATTTGGAGCAGGGCGTAGGCCCTCCCCTGTGTGTCTAAGCTGAGAGAGTATCCCTCTGTGTGGAGTGGGCTCCCAAAGTCCATTCGTGTACTAGGGATAAATACTGATCTACTACTAGAGGTCCCATAGACTAGAACTCCAAACTGACCCCCTGGTTCAGGGAGTCTGGATAGGTCCTATGCTGGTTTCCCAGCTATCAGTCTGGGGTCCATGAGCTCCTCCTTGTTCAGGTCAGCTGTTTCTGTGGGTCTCTCCAGCCTGGTCTTGACCCCTTTGCTCATCACTCCTCCCTCTCTGCAACTGGATTCCAGAGTTCAGCTCAGTGTTTAGCTGTGGGTGTTTGCTTCTGCAATGGAATCTTGAAATTTGCAGGCAAATGGCTGGAACTAGAAGAAACCATCCTGAGTGAGGTAGTCACAAAAAGGACAAACATGGTATGTACTCACTCATATATGGAGCAAAGGATTACCAGCCTAAAATCCATACTGCCAGAGAAGCTAGGAAACAAGGAGGACCCTACGACAGACATACATGGTACCCTGGAGTAGGGGAGAGGGAGTTAGGAGAAAGAGAAAGGGAGAAGAGAAGGGGAGAGGATGGCATGAGGGAGCAGGAAGATTGAGTCAGGGGAAGAATAGAGGAGAGCAAGAAAAGAGATACCATAATACAGGGAGCCATTATAGGTTTAAGGAGAAATCAGGCACTAGGGAAATGTCCAGAGATCTACAAGGTTGACCCCAATCTAAGCAATTGTGGAGAGGCTACCTTAAATGCCCTTCCCTGATAATGAGATTGATTACTACTTTATATGCCATCCCAGAGTTTGGATGTCCTGCTCAATGTGATGAAAGTGGGTAGTGAGGAGCAAAGCATTAGGTAGCAGCAGTGGAGGTCAGAAGAGGTGCGAGGTCCCTGAGAGCTGCAGGTGCAGGTGACTGTGAGCAACCTCATGTGGACACTGGGAACTGGACTTGGGTCCTCTGTAACAACAGAATACACACTTAACCACTGAGCCATCTCTCCAGCCCCCAAATCTTAATTTTTAAAGAAATAACCATCTTTAATGACTTTTTTCTGAGGATATTAGGTCCTCTAAATGTTTGCTCTTTCAGACTCTCTTCAGGTTACCACGTTAGCTCTTTCTAAATGATGTGATTCATAGGACACCAATGCTAATAAATGCAGTGGCAGAGACACTAATCCAAGAACCTCAGAGTATAGTCACTGATCCCGTGCAGTATGACTCAGAATGCTTGGGCCTGACATTCTTTGCCTTACAGACTAAGAAATACCACCAGCTTAGCATGGAGCAGTGGTTCTCATCTGGTGGGTCGATACCCTTTGGAGATCAAATGACCCTTTCACAGGGGTCACACATCAGATATTTACATTAAGATTCATAACAGCAGAAAACTTACAGTTGTGAAACAGCAACAAAAATAATCTCATGGTTGGGGGTTGCCACAGCATGAGGAGCTGTATTAAAGGGTCACAGCATTAGAGAGGTTGAGAACCACTGGCACAGGGTAAGGTTGAGAACAAAGCCTGGACCAGAAGCCAGAAGATCTGAATCCCGCTTCTGACTCTGCTACAAGTCCAGCATGTGACATCACTCACCCCTTCAGCCTTGGCTTCCTTGTTTGTGACCTAGGGATGAGAACATGTTCAGCTCCCACAGTCATGGAACCACCCCCAGCAATGGCTACAAGCAGAGGCAACAGCACATTGCCCCCCATGATCAATTCAGAAAGCATTATCTAAAGGATTATCTAAATCCTGTTTGAAACTCCTCAGACTTTACCTCCTCTCAAAATAATAATGCATACATACTTCACAAGTAAACCCCAGGCCTTTCCATGTGTGGCTGACAAACGTGCCCACTAAAGGCATGGATGTTTAATTGATGCCCTTAGGTCTATTACTCTATAGTATTAGTATAGAAACTAATCAAGCAAATACAGCCACATACCATATAACGTTTTGGATAGTTGTGAACTGCATAGAACACAGGAATCTGATAAACTACACCATCTAATGAAATAGTGATTTTAGTTTGTAAGTACATTCCATGATCATGCAAGTATAAAATCCTCAAAAATGCATTCCTTAGACTGTCATCATTAAATGACACATGTTTGTTTTCTGTAGGGAAATAAGGCAATGAAAATTATCTCATTTTATTATCACTATCACCTTAAGCAACATTTTCATAAACATTGTGATGGTAACTTGTCTTTACTGAAATTAAACATCACATGCCTTAGCGCGTGTGAATACACACACACACAATTTCACTCTAAATAATTGTACTTTAAATTACAAGAACTCAAAAAAAATTAGGAGCTGGAAGTACAACTCAGTTTATTGCACCCTTGTCTGACATCCCAGAAACCCTGGGTTCAATCCCCAAATTTGGGGGGCAGAGCTCAGACTGTGCCTAAAGAAAGAAAAGTTACTCTTATGTCACCACCTAGTAGCCTTAGAATATGGTTCTGGAAAGAGAAACTTCTGCAGGGCGGGGGAAGGACCCAGAAGGTCAGCATCCAGAGTGCCTACAGGTACCTGGCCGCCTCCCAGGGAGCTAGCAGGATCCACTGCACCTGCTCCCAGCTGCACAGTTGCACAAGTCTAACCTTTGAACACAATCAAGCAGGAACACCACCAGGGACACGGTTCTGTGTGCCTGCATCAGAGGTCAACCCTCCTGCAAGTCTGAAAATGATACCTACTTGTTATGTGAGGTGTACAAATGCGTTTTCACAAAAGTCAAACTAGAACAGTAATAAAAACATGGTCGGAAAAAGCCTTATCCACTGGTGTGGAAAGTATAAATTCATAAACTATTTCAATAGTATTAAGATTAATATGCACACAGCTTAGAAGTCGGCAATCAACGGGTGCACTCTGAGGCATTATATACGAACATAACAGAGTCCAGTCGGCCATTCGGTAGGTTTGTATGCTGTGAAATGAAAACGAGTCCATGATCACTCCTGGGTACGGGTGAGAAGGGTTTTACTGTAGATATGAGGAATAGAACAGCCAGAGGCATCTGGAAGGATCCAGACTGAACATGACCAGTAGAATAGACCGTGAGAGGGGAGAGAGGGGGAGAGCGAGGGAGGAAGAGAGGAGAGGAAACCGGAGAAAGGGCAAATGGATGAAGAGAGGCCCCTAGGACCAGGAGAACCAGGAGAACTTGTCACCAAAAGGGCTGACATTATATAGGAAAGAGAGGCTGGGGAAGGGAAGAGGAAGTTAGGGGTCTGGAGAGGTTTAGGGTGGGTGCTGAGGAACCAGGCCAGAGTCCACTTAGATATGTTAAAAGGCACCTCGGTTAGCCATTACTCCCAGGTTTCTTTGAGACCTAATACTCCAGAGAAACTGTGTGGTCAGTCCAAAGCAGGCTGCTGACAGCACTCGGTAACCCACAATGAGTAAAAGCTGTATCTCAGTTGTAACCAACTGCATTCCCTTTGGTCATAAAAGAAGGGAATAATGCACAATATTCTCAGGACTTGTGATGTTTTAATCAATGAAAGTCATAGATATCATATTTACAGTAGCTGCAGATGTCAAATTCCTTTTATGCTTATCACTATTTAAAATGCTGTCTTACACCTTAGATCGTTATTTAATACCTATATAAAGAAGCATGTCTGTTTTCAATAACTTACCTTCATGTTTTGATGATGTTTGTTCAATGTAATTTGTTTTTTAGAGTTACATGTATTTGCTAAGCATAAAATCTTTAGGGATTTAAAGGCTCACAAGATTTCCAGAAATCTGACACTGACAAGGTTTTTAATCCCTGATGGCCAATAGATAATGTAGCCTAGTGTACATTAGCAAGGTAGCCAAGAGACTATTTTCATCAGGGAAATTATTCAAGATATAGGGATCAATTAAACTATTTAATATGTACCTGAAAACGAGATGTCTCTAAATCCTAACCTTCCAAGCGGATATAGGTAGAAAACTCCATAATATGCTCAACGAAGAACACAAACACGCACCAGGAAAAAAACCTGGTAAATGAAGTTTTTCTGAGGGCCCACAGGTCTGCTTTCACAGCCCACACAATTACCTAACTTCACTCTCCACGCGTGATTTCAGGCCCGCGGGGCCCACTGCTCTGGACTCCAGGAGAATTACCCCATCTTTATTGGGAGCCTCCCAGGACACCGTCGGGTGGCTGGGGCTAAGAGAGATGCTGGGAACCACGCGATAAAGGTGAAGAAGGCTCGCTGGGGGCTGCCACAGGGGTCACGCCCACCCCCAAGCTTCAGAGCGCCCACGCTGGAAGAGCAAAAGCCAGGCCAAGTGTCAGGTTGACACGCGAGCAAGCAGCGGCTGAGCTTCCGGAGGGGGCGGGGCGAGGCGGGGCAGGACGGGGCGCCGGGCCCCGCCCACCGCAACGTGGCCTTAAGCGACCAGGCGGGCGCGCGCGCGCACCGGGAAGCGGGAGGAGTCCCGGAACCCCGCGGCCGTCTCCTGCGCGCCCCAGGACGCGCCATGCTCGCACTGGGAAGCTGCCTGAGGAAGGCGCTGGCCCTGCGGGCGCTGGCGCCTCAGGTAGGGGACCCCCGCGGGGGACGCGCCGGGAGGCAGAGGCAGCCTCGGGGCCGTGCCCTCCCGGGGCTCAGGGAGGCGGGCGGGTCAGCAGGGCGGAGAGGTCACGCCGCTTCAGGGAGGCGAACGGGGGCGCGCACGCGGCTTTGGGAGATGGGCGGGATCAGTGGGGAGAGTGGCGTTCCGGGTTTGTGGGGCTCACTGCCAGATGGGCGGGGTTTATAGGTGGGCGGGGTTTGTGGGGCCTGCTGTGAGATGGGCGGGGTTTGTAGGGCCTGCTGCGAGGTGGGCGGGGTTTGTGGAGCTTGTGGCGAGATGGGCGGGGTTTGAAGGGTCTGCTGCGAGGTGGGCGGGGTTTGTGGAGCTTGTGGCGAGATGGGCGGAGTTTGTGGGGCCTGCTGCGAGATGGGCGGGGTTTGTAGAGCTTGCTGTGAGATGGGCGGGGTTTGTGGGGCCCGCTGCCAGATGGGCGGGGTCTGCTGTGCCAGTCCTTGCTGGCTGGTTCTCTGACTTGTGGCCTGGGATGTCCCAGTTCCATTCCGGAGCCGAGACCTGGTGAGTCCAAGGCACCCAGCGCTTCAGGAGCTATCATTTGTCGAGTCACCTCCCCAGATGCTGCACAGAGGGCTTGTTGTGGCTGGGGGTCATCCCTGAAGCCCCGACCATTGCGTTCTTGCAGCAGCCACCACCATCGTGACTGCCACTTATTGAGGTTTTACAGCCACCGCCCAGTTCTAAAGCGGGCGCTTTACCGAGGAACTTGAATGGGAGACTGGGGTCGCCACGGGAGCATCCTGCCCTGCAGTTAGGGCCCGGGGGTCCCCAAGCTGAGCACAAGGCCCTGGAGCCTCGTGAAGCAGGTTGTGCCTCATATGGGACATGCATGAAAGGAGCCAGCGAACCAGCCTCGAGTCATTTGTGGCTTTAACCCGGAGGTTCTTGACCTCCCGCGTTTAGGAAGAGCAAGAGCAAGAGCGTTAACCTGGTCTAGAGGCAGACTTTGTGCTGAACACTAAAGAAGAGTCTAATACACATGCCGCCTCTGCCCTCGCTGTCTCCCTAGCATGCTTGAGAGTAAGCCCCAATTTTGAGATAACGGGACATCAAGTAGATTTCTACCTTGGCACAGTTTGGTCCAGCCCTGAAACACTAAATGACCTCTTAGCGTACATCTTTTCAGCACAGGTCTCTTTACTGTATGCTTTCTCGTGTGAAAGACTGTAGTTGCCGTGTCTTTGATCAGTAACTTCTGTGCTACAAGTATCGATCGCATGAATCACACTGAAAGCTTGTTGCACTATCCCACGTCTCATGTTTTATCACCTTGTATGTTTTTAAGCACACAGTTTATTTTCATGTGTTTGTGAACCGTGTGTGTGTGTCCAGTGCTCGAGGGTGTCAGGAGAGGGCAATGGGTCCCCTTGAACTAGTGTTACATACCATTGAGAGCCACCACGTGGGCGCTGGAAATGGAACCCGGCCCCCGGCAAGAGCAACAAGAGCTGCTAACCACTGAGCCAGCTCTCCAGCTTTTGCTGTGGATTTTTTTAACCACAAGTATGAGGCAGTTAGAGTGTGGTTACAAACACAACAGGCATTCCTACCACACAAGAGCACCTGCGGTATTTTCTCCGACAAGCTTAGTTATTTGGGACAGTAGAAGCATAACTCATAATCATGAATGAAATGAGCCCCTGCTGTCATGTGTGGTCTGCCCACCAGCCGCTTGGGTCCCGTTGTCACTTTAGCTCCCAAATAACACACAGGACACTATATTAATTATGAAGCTGTTGGCCGTTTGCTTGGTTTACTTCACTCATTTTTAGGAACTCAGAACGGCTTCTGCTAATAAGCATTTTCATTGTGTCTGTTAAAAAGACTCACAATCAGACTTTGCAAGCTTCTTTTAAATGAGTAGTACTGTTAACTACTGATGTTGACGGAATACAAGAAAACTCCAGAGCTATAAGGGTCCTGATCATAGTCCCTGGGAAACAGGATTACAACCTTGATGATAGTTTATCAGCAACTTTTCATGAAAATGTGCTTGGCGATGCCCTCCGGCTAGGAGAGTAACTGCATTCAGCAGTTAACAGCAGTTACCTGTATTGTCATCTCTACAAAAGCATGTCTATGAAGAGTTGACAAGAGAAACAGCAAGACAAATTATGAGTGTACTGTATGCCCTTTGTTCCCAGGCTTCACTATCATGATAAATACATCTTTTCCAAATGATTTCAATGTCGCCTGTCTTTCTTCAGGTATGTTCACCTTTTGCTACAGGTCCCAGGCAAAGCGATGGGACATTATATGAATTCCGCACCTATTTCCTCAAGTCCTCAAAAACGAAGGAGTTCCTGGAAAACTTGAAGAAAAATGTTCACCTCCGGACTGCTCACTCTGAATTGATTGGATATTGGAGTGTAGAATTTGGAGGCAGAACCAACAAAGTATTCCATATTTGGAAGTACGGTATGGGTCACACAACTTCTGTTTCATACAAATGCTCAATGTGAGATGGTCTGTAAAGCTGGGTCCTCAGTGTATGACTGTACATGCGTACAGGTTGAAGAAAACGTTTGAAAGCAATACAGTAACAAAGACAGGCCAATTACTCAGTGACCCCTTTGTATCTTTGTATCAACTACTTGCTTAGACTCTGAGGATTACATTAATGGGATCATGTCTCATGCTCATTTGATGAGCTGACTTTAATTCTCAAAGTTTTAGAATTTTATAAAATTCAAATCCATGCTTACAAAAGTCCAAGTAAGTGGAAAATACAAAATGAAAGTGTGTTATTAATAGATAAAACTGGATATCAGCATTTAGTGCTTACTATTTTAAAATTTTTCTTAGAGCCTTTGAGAGGGCATCAACTATCAACCTTTTATATTTTACTATGCTTTTATTTTCTTTACATTTTTTAATTTATTGTTTACACTCCAATCATAGTCCCCTTTCCCTCCTCTCCTCCCACTCCCTCCACTCCCCCCTCCTCCCATCTGCTCCATGGAGAGGGTGAGTCAGTCCCATCATCTTGTCGAGGCAGGACCAAGGCACCTCTCCACCCCACTCTCCATAAAGAATGGGCTCCTCTAAGTCAGTTTGTGTTAGGTCTTAAACCCACTGCCAGTAGCCTCATATGTGGTCCCAGTCACACCATTGTCACCTATATTAGGGGAGTCTAGTTCAGTCTTATGCAGGTTCCCCATTTGTCAGACCTGAGTCAGTGATCTCTTCCTAGCTCAGGTCAGCTGATTCTGTGGGTTTCCCCATCATGGTCTTGACTCCTTTGTTCATATTATCTCTCCTCCCTCACTTCAATTGTGCTCCAGGAGCTTGGCCCAGTGGTTAGCTGTGGATTTCTGCATCAGCTTCCATCTGTTTATAGGAGAGGGTTTAAGCTTCTCTGGGGTTATGGATTGTAGGCTGGGTGTCTTTTGCTTTATGTCTGGTATCCACTTATGAATGAGTACTTACTATATTTGTTTTTGTGATTTTGGGTTACCTCACTTAGGATGTTTTTTTTTTCTAGTTCTGTCCATTTGCCTGCAAATTTTAGGATGTCATAACTGTCAGCTTTTAAGCTTCTAAAATATTTAATGATTTTGTTGTATTTAGCAATCACTTTTACTTAAGTTCTACAGAGTTTCAAAGAACTCACTGTCGTGTTCTATAATGGAGCTAAAGTCAGAGGAATTGAAGACAGTCTTGTCATGCAGAAGATGACATAGTCACAATGAGGAGGAGAAGTTACAAGAATGTGCGAGGTCCCTTACTCCTTGGTTCCCCACACTCTGCAGCAGGGCCTGAGGGCGCCCAACACTTCTTCAGCGTTTCCCGTCAGTGTCCAGACTAGTTTTCAAAAGTGCTTCTCTGCCAGCATTGCCCCTCCTGTACCTGATATAGCATAGCTTGAGGCTTTTCCGTGCTGGGATAGATCAGGCTCATCAGATATTAATGTCTGCTTCGGATGGGGTTCAAGTTAAATCGTGACCCATTACGAGAACGAACAAGAGGGAGAGAGACAACACCGTTTTTGTGTACAGAATGCATTTCATTTCACTTGCACTGAAATTTGGTCAGGGTATACCCTGACGTGACCGCCTACCATCACTACCAAAGTGTCTTCCTGTGAACTGGAAGTTATGAGCAGTCAGTTATGAGCAGTTATGAGTCAGTTATGAGCAGCAGTTGAAGACTCCACATCTGCTGAGCAACAGGTGCTGAAGGTGTTCTGAGTGCTCTCCGTGGGGTCATGCCGTCCTCACTCCAAACCTGGAGGTCCATGTTATGTCACCCCGTATCGCAGGCTGAGAAACACATAGTGACACTGAGTACACACTGAGTGGCAGAGCCTGGGCAGCCCTCACAGTGAGATCACAATAGTTGTTCCATTTCTTTTACCCTGAAGACTTAAATGACTTGATGCAGACGTCACATCTTTACAAGTGGGTGTTCCCAAAGTGGTACACAGTGTTCTTGTGTGCTGTGGGTAAAATGTTTGCTCATTTGGATAAAGTCCAAAATTAGACCATTTTAAATAAAACAATTTAAACTTTTCTTCATTTTTTTTCCGCCATAGATAACTTTGCTCATCGAACTGCAGTTCGCAAAGCCTTGGCCAATGATAAGGCGTGGCAAGAACAATTCCTCATCCCAAATTTGACTTCCATTGATAAACAAGAGATTGAGATTACCTACCTGGTACCATGGTGCAAATTGGGAAAGCCTCCCAAGGAAGGTGCGTCTGTCTTAGCCACTGTGAGTTTTCATGCCTGTTATAGTACAGGTGTTAAGTGTTTTAAAAACTAAAACAAGTGTCACTGGAAAACAACAACAAAAGGATTATTTATTTTATGTAGGAATGATGCTGTGACCATTGAGATAAAAATTAATCTTAGTTTATCCTTAAAAATGAGAATTAATGAAGTATTTTTCCAAACTAAGGTGTGTGTGTGTGTGCGTGTGTGTGTGTGTGTGTGTGCGCGCCTATATGTCTGCCTATTATCACTGGCATACTTGGTGCCTGTGGAGCCCAAAACGGCATCAGCTCCTCATGAACTGGAGTTAGAGACAGTTGTGAACTGCCATGTGGGTGCTGGGAATCGAACCCAGGTTCTTAGCTAGAGCAGCCAGTGCTCTTGACTACAGAGCCACTTGTCCAGCCCTTGCAAACTAAGTTTTATGGGCTAAAGCTTGGCTGTGGTATAGAAAAAGTCGGTATAATACGAGAGTAATACAAACTTTTACTCATTTATTCATTTTTAGGGTTGAGACAAGGTCTCATAATGTAGCCCAGGCTGACCTCCAACTCAAAATTCTCCTCCCTTAGACTCTCTAATGGAGAGATTATAGACATTTACTACGATGCCTGTTTAAATAATATAAACACTTAAGTATAAAAGTACTTTCCACAGATTACAGTGTTTAAGGTAAGTACATCTTTACTTATAAAATGGACTGTCTGGAGGGAGGGAGTTAACTGACATTGCCCAGCTGTGCACTGTAGCTAACTTTTCCGTCTTCCTCTTGCTTCTTTCTCAGTTTGAAAATAATTCCTTATGATGTGTCTCCTTGCTGGTTTTAAGAACTGTTTTAAATAAAGGTCAGGTTAAAAAAGCATAACGCTCTAATATTTACTTTATTTCCCATTTTTTCCTAACTCTATAATGTCTTTTAAAGTACAAGGAATTTGAAGTTTCGCTGAAACTATGAGTGTTTATGAGTCATTGATCCTCGTGTGCAGACAGCAACTGCAGCTTCCTCCTCCTGGATGTTTGCCCGGGTGTCCTTTCTTCATCCCCTTGCTGCCTGCAGCCTGGGCTCTGGGACCCAGGCCACAAGGCCTGTGCCCTTTGCTCTAAGAACTGCCCAGACGCTTGCCATCTCTTAAAGTGCCAACCCTGACTTTTTACACTTTTCACATTCATTTATGTAGTGCATATTCATGCCGTAGTACACACATGGAGATCAGAGAACAACTTAGGGTTGTTGGTTCCTTCCTTACGTCGGGTGTGTTCCGAGGATTGATCTCTCTCAGGCTTGGCAGCAAGCATTTTCAAAACACGGAACCCTCTCACTGGGCTTAAATCTTTATACTTTTCGTAATTTCTTAGTGACCTTGTGCATGTTTTACCCTTTCTGTCAGACTGCTTACCCTACAGTTTCCCACCTCTTTTATATTTCTGGCTGGAGGTGAACGGCCCATCAAGCAACACTTGGATATTTAAGAATAATAAACCCCTTGGGAAAGTCAGATAGGACCTCAGGCCACGTTTTCTTGCTTTTCCTGTTAGAAACAGACTCCCAAAGGAGAAGGTTTATACAAAGAATAATATCTCCCCTCAAAATTGAAAAGAAGCGGGAAAGGGGAGCACTAGAAGATGTGTCTTTTCTTATAGACTTGCACAGCCTAAAATCCTATTTCATGATAAAGTATCGGTATCTGCTATATTGAGAAAGTTCCCAGATTAAAAATATTTAGTGTAACTTTTTTTATATAGGATCTATTTCCCGTCAGCTATTAAGGTTAACTTTAAGCATAGACAAGATTGTCTAAACATAAAAACAAGGAAAAATAATGCAAAGAATTAGTGAATGTGTACATAGGGCCAACTCCCCCTCTAGAGGCAAACAAAGCGAATTGCTTGAATAATGTCTGTTAAATAATGTCTGTTAAGTGATTTTTTGTCAATTCTAGGAGTCTATGAGTTGGCTACTTTTCAGATGAAGCCTGGAGGCCCAGCTCTGTGGGGCGACGCATTCAAAAGAGCGGTGAATGCCCATGTTGACCTTGGCTACTCTACTCTAGTCGGTGTTTTCCACACTGAATATGGAGCCCTCAACAGAGGTACAGCTATGTTCTATGAGACTGTGATGAATGCTCGGGATCGCATATGTTCTTGGATATTTGGTTTTGTTTGTTAAGATTTATTTATTAGGTATACAGTGTTCTGCCTGCTTGTATGCCTGCAGGCCAGAAGAGGGCGCCACTACTCATTACAGGTGGCCATGAGCCAGCATTAGGTTGCTGGGAATTGAACTCAGGTCCTCTGCAAGAGCAACCAGTACTCTTAACCACTGAGCCATCTCTCTAGCCCCTGGGTATTTTTTGTTTTGTTTTTGTTTTTTTAAGTATGATTTTAATTTTGAAGGGTATTTTTTTCTAATTGTAAGGTTTGAAAACACTTATTTTTTATTGTGATTGCTTATACCTTTTGGAGCTATTTTACTGGCTAACTATTGCTTAGAAACTGGAAGAATCTTTAAGAAAATATTAATCCTTTTAATCTTTTCTAAAACCTTCTTAAGATTTTTTTCAAAACAACATTATTGGAATAAAGAGATTATATATTTTCTGAATAAAAATATAAATATATATTTTTATAAATACAAAAATTATGGACAAAACCAGACAAAAAAATTACCTATTTAGTTACCTATTTCTCATTATTGAAATTAACAGTGTTCTATAAACATCTATGACACAGGGATGCCAAGACCAAAGAATAATGATATAAAGATGTAGAAAGGCTGGAAACAATGCATGTGCATGGCTGGTGATAGCTTCACAGACTCTAGTTTGGATGGATGGATAGATAGATAGACAGATAGACAGACTGACTGACTGACTGACTGACTGACTGACTGACTGACTGTACTGGCCTGATGACCTGAGTTTGATCCCTAGCACCCACATCAAAGCTGACTGCAGTGGCACCATTTATAACCTCAGCCCTGGGAAGATGGAAATGGGAGTCTGGCTGCCTAGTCTAGCCAGGTTAAGTTTCAAGTTCAGAGAGACCTGTATCAATAAGGAAGAGAAAAATGGAAGAGGACAGTCGACATTAACCACTGACTTCCACGTGTACACACATGTGTGCATCCACACACATGCACAATCAGGGTCAGGCGTGTAGATCAGAAGTATTCATTCTGAAGGCCCTAGACTTCATGCCTAGTATGAACAAGACACACATTTTTACAAATACCTACAATACGGTTATATTTAGAATATAATACACACACACGTGCATATACGCAGGGGACAAAAGTCAATGAAAGTGGAGGACACAAATTTGAATGAGCAAGAAAGGTTGTGTAGGAGGGTTTGGAGGGGAAAAGGAAATAGATCATTATGTTGCAATCTCAGAAGAAAAAGTGCCTGTCATTAAAACTTAGAGCTAACTTCTGAATCCCTCCTGCAGTTCACGTTCTGTGGTGGAATGAGAGTGCAGACAGTCGTGCAGCTGGGAGACACCGGTCTCATGAGGACCCCAGGGTCGTAGCTGCTGTTCGGGAAAGCGTCAACTACCTAGAGTCTCAGCAGAACATGTTCCTGATCCCAACATCCTTTTCACCACTCAAGTAGTTTGGGACCTGACATGGGCCATCGTGGTCACTAACGTGAGGTGTGTCTACAGCGGATGCTCATGTCTCCCGAGAAAATCCGTCTGTCTGTTGTCTGGAGGAGGTGGTGAGCCACTTCACCCTGCCCTCTGCATTGAAGGCTGCCTGTGGCCCTGACTACCAGCAGTTCTGGAAGTGTCCTGTTCGTTTCCCCATGCCGTTTCATGTCACCAGATATGAGAAAGAGTTGCCTTCACTCTGTGACACTGGTACATTATTGTTCCACAGTATCTTGTCTGCTGCGATTTTATGACTCATTGCTGTCTTATATTCAAATAACAATTTTGAAATATTTTTAAATTAGCTAAATACAGTGTCTGTTATTTGATCATGTTCATTTTTTCCTGAAATTTAAAAATATTTTTTATCCAATAATGTTTGCTTTGTGATATCAAATGGGATTCATAGAAATATTAAATCTAGTATTTGTCTTTATGCATTTCAAAAGTATAATATCATATCATCTGTATTAATTATTTCATATTAATTATTAAGTCAAAGTAGGAAAATAATATATTCTGGAGACTTGTTGCTGGATAGTATAGTTTTACCATGTTTGTTTTTAATTAACTTTTACTATTTTTTACTTTACCTTGAATCACTCAGAAAGAATCTGATACTTTTTATTTCAATGAAATCTTTATAATTGGAAATCTTTGACCTAATAAAAGCCTTCACACCCATCCTGATGTTTTCAAGTGTGTCTTGTATATTTACATCCCCTCCTCTGGAGCTCTCCTTACGTGGCAGAGGGTGATGTCACCACACTGATGGGGCAGCTTCCTAGTGAGTGTGAAGTCACAGAGCAGAAGATGCTGGCTGGCTCTGGAAGCAGACTTCTCCCGCGGTCTTGACTGCCTGGGGCGTGAGGTGGCAATCAGGAAGCAAGCTGTGCCGCGTTCACAGGCGTCCATCTCAGTGCTCCTCAGACGCACTCACAACACTGTAACGGCCTCACACATAGGAGCTTCGTATATGCTTCACATACTCAGAGTGACAATTAAAAAGTGCGATGAAGTCATTCTCAGATAGTTTCTGGTCTCAGAAGGACAGACACCATGTTTCCCCTCCTGTGGTGGGTTCCTAGATTTTCTGTACGTAAAATCACGCACGTCTATATGAAATGAAACTGGTAACAGAGGGGACTGACGGGCACAGAGAAGGGTGAAGGGGAGGGGAGGTTTGGTGGAGGGGATCATAACTCAATGTACAGTGTATGCCTGTGTGAAAATTTTCTTAGGTGACACAATTACCATATGCAATGAGGGTATACAAGCAATTTTTTAGTTGTTAGAGATTCAAATGGTCATAAGCAATTTTTAAATTTAATTAAAATTAAAGTTTAATATAAAATGTTAAAAGTGACTTAGCATTTTGCTTTGTTAACTGTTAGAGCATCAGTCTTTGACCATCTCTGTAGTAGAGTAAAAGGTAAGAAAAAAGCTGACATTTGATCTTCTTGATGGGTACCCCGAGCATCTTAACAGGTCTCCTTAATTTAAATCATATACCTTATTCACTTGGTTTAAATCATATATGCATTACTTGTATTTTACTCAAACTGCATTTTCACTCTCTACAAAACATGAGATGACAGAGATGTGCCTTCCAAGAGGCTTAGAGAGGAAAGTCATCAATACGTACAAGTTCACATAGTAGCATTGATTTTCTGCAATTTGATTTTCTTCCGATCTCTTGCATTGTTCCCAGTACTGACTCCCTGTCTTCATCCCATCATTGGAAAATAAGAAGTAATCAGAAGAGACTGCAGACTGACACTTCCCGGTCACTGTCTGCGGCAGGCAGGCTCCCTTGGGAGCTGTTTCTCCTCCTACTATGCGTTCCTCTCCGGCTGTGTGCTCCTGGTGAAGACCAGCTTGTCTGCCTGCAAACTTAGTAGCTGAAGGATATGACCCCAGCATTTCTGTCTCCGAGTCTCACTCCTCCCCAGCGTACAAATGTGCTATTACTTATCCCATCTTTAAAAAACACAAACAGCCAGTGGGATGGTGGCACACACCCATGATCCCAGCACTCGGGAGGCAGAGGCAGGTGGATCTCTGTGAGTTCAAGGCCAGCTTGGTCTGTGAGTGAGTTCCAGGACAGCCAGGGCTACACACAGAAACCCTGTCTTTGAAAAAAAAAAAACCGTCCTGCCTCTTTCCCCCCATATAGTAATACAAAAGAAGTGTCATACTTCCAGCCTCTGAGTCTCAAATGTCTCACTGCCCCACTCACCGAATAGCTCTCATTAAACTCAGTCTCCAGTCCTCATTTTAGTAGGCCTCCAGCAGTTGATCTCTTCTTTGTTCTAGAAGTATTTTCTTCATTCCCACTGACAGTAGCTGCTTCGTCTTCTTTTGTCACCAACACCTTGTCTCTTGATGCCCAGTGGTGTCACATTCCAGAGCTGATCCCTTAGACAACTTTTCTGTCCTGAATTATTTCTCAGTCCCAAATCTCCAACTGCCACCAGTGTCCAGACAGTCCATCCAGTTTATAGGCATCCTCTAGAATTCAGCCTTTTCCAACTGCCAGCCTTAACACCTCTGCCCGAATACGAGTACGTTAGAAACTTCACACCAGCCCGTGGAAAGCTGAGCAGCCCCGTCTCCGTACACCTCCCATCCCGTCCATTTGCTCAGGCCATTAACCACATTACACATCCATCAGCAGATCCCTAGAATCCAGAACCTGGGTGCTTCACATCCCCACAGCCACCATTCTGATACAAACCCATCAGTTTGGGGATTTAAGGCGGAAGCTCTCAGCTGATCTGCCCTCATCCTACTCTGTGTTTTCAGCAAGCAGCCAGAAGAATATGAAACATAAACCACGTTGTCATTCCTTGACACGCCCACGCCTCCAGTAGCTTCCTGTCTCGCTGGAGTCTGTGTCCAAAGCCCTTCAGTGTTGGCCTACAAGCCCTTACACCACCTGTCCTCCGGTTACCTTGGTGTCATTCCACTCCCTCAGGTCCAGGCTGACCTAACGACTTTTTTTTCTTGGACCTACTAAGCATTATCTTCCCTTAAAGTCCATTGCCCCTACCTAGAATCTTCTTCATGAATAATTTCCATACCTTCTTGGGATCTTTACCCTAGAGTCTCATGGCAGCCCTCCCTGATGGCCCCATTTAAAACTCAAGTTCCTGTTTGCTATGGAATGAACTTGTTTTCCCTTTCAGATTCACATACTGAAACCCTAATTCCTAACGGAATGATGTTGAGAGGCGAGGACCTTATGAAGTGTCTTAGCCCGTGCTCTATGGCTGTGAAGAGACACCGTGGCCATGGCCACCCCTGCAAAGGATTGCTGTTACGTGAGTGGGCCGGCTCACAGCTTCAGAGCTTTAGTCCATCGTACCGTGGTGGGCAGCACAGGGCAGACATGGTGCTGGGGAAGGAGCTGAGTTCCACACCTGGATCTGCAGGCAGCAGGAAGAGACTTTGGGCATGGCATGGGTCCCACCCCCCAGTGACACACTTCCTCCACCAAGACACACCTCCTAATCCTTTCCCTGGTGTCCAAGCATTCAAACATATGAGCCTGTGGGGGGGGCGGTCTTATTCAAACCATCACATGAGGTAATCGGACTTAGGTGAGGGGAAGGAACTGGTGGAATTAGCGTCCTTACAAACGGATAAAGTACCTTCTCTATATCTCTCTACTGTGTGATTTAACCACAATCGCAGTGTCCACTAGGATCTAATCAGGTTGGCATCCTCATCTCAGATTCCCCAACCTCCAGAAGAGTGAGAAATAAATGTTTGTTGTGCAAGCCACACCATCAGCAGTAACCACCTACTAGTGTAGCTAAGGTTTTAGATATATCTCATTTTTATTGTATTTATCCTTCCACTAGAAACTAAATTCCATGCTATCATGGGATATCACCAATCAGTACCCGGCACATGCTAAGCACTTGCTGGTTATGTGAACATATGAGATGTGCTGTGTCTTAAGTAGACTTTGCATGTGCCTCCCCCCCCAAAGATTTATGTGCTGGAGTTTGATCCTTACAGTGATAATGGGAACATGGTGGCCAGTGGGAAGTGGTTAAGTCATTGGTGGTACCATTACTGGAAAGGGTTAATGTAATATTCTTGGTTCCCATGTTGATTCTCTTGAAGTCGAGTTATGTTGGCTACTTTGTTCATTGCCATGTCAAGACACGTGTGAGAAATAAGGAAGGAAGGGTTTACTTCGGTGCATGGTTCTAAGTGGGACAATCTATCGTGGCGGGGAAGATGTAACAGTTCATGGAGGTGGAAGAGTCTGGCCAGAGCTCCTCACGTCTGGAAGGTCATGGAACACAGAGACCTGGGCAGAAAGTGAAGCCAGACTGTAACCCTCAAAGTTTAATATTCTCCCAAAGCACGTTCCACCAGCTGAAGACCACGTGTTCAAACTCATGAGCACGGTGCGGAACCGCTCACTACATTCATATGTTAATAGCAAGTTGTTTATGATCCCTTGGATCTCTTTGGATTCTCCCTGACTGTGTGGCCTCTCCATCTTGGTGCACGCTACCACCGCAATGCCATCTTACATGAGACTCAAATGAGACCACCTGCTCTTGGATTTTCAGCCTCCAAAGTTATAAGTTTCGAGCTAAATTAATCTCCATCCCCCCAAAAAATATCCAGGATCAGATATTTGTTATGGCGACAGAAAACAGATGAGTACAAGAGTTTTACATTTAACAAAGTAGTACATCATTCCTCCATACTTCATCTTATCCACTATTATCAAGGAATTATTGAAGGTTCCTCACCGCCTTGTTTGGAAAGTATCCATTGGAAGACAGTAGACATTCTCACTATGAGTGCAATCAAGAAATACCGAAGATACTATTGCCTATTGGTTATGAGATGCCTTTCTAGACTACAGAAGTCTAGAGGAGGAAAACAGATTCATGACAAATTGAGTCTAATTCCTCCGCCACTAAAAAACTTTAAAAGGATGAGGAAATAGTGCTTGCAGACTCACACCCTGAACTCCAGTCCCAGCACGGACTCCCATCTACTGAACAGAGCCTAGACACTTAACTACTGTGGGAACTGAAGCTGTAGTCCTTTCAGTCATCGAAGGAGTATGACCCTGCATCATGTTGGAAGAGACTTTCTTTATAAACTGTTACTCAGAGTGACCTCTCTCTACTCAGCATTGCAGAAAGAAGCATGCTCTCCAGGGAGAACATGGTTTGATTTCTACAGTTTTAGCTGATTGGCCCAAGACCCTGAGGTAAGAGAAGCCGGTGGAGAAAGGCTCCTGACAGGATTAAAGCCACTCAGAAAGGGAAAGAGGGTGCCTGCTGTAGCGAGAGGAATCCAAATGCAAGCTCTGTGATCCGACTCTGTCTCTCTCCCTTCAGAGCATTGTGCCCTGTAGATTGGTGTATGTTCACTATTCTGCCCTTACCCGGCATTCTTCCTCATCAGTCGCTGACTTTGGAGGTTCCCCAGGAACCGTCTCAGGAAGCGCAACCATCGATCATTCCCGCAATTCCCTTGCTCACCGGGGTAGGTTCAGACATAAGTAGACATCTGCCTTCCAGTAACATATCAGTCTCTACATTTCAGTTTGTGACACACCCCACGTGTTTGACCCTCTTCCTTCTTGCTCCCCACTCCCTCCCCGTTTCCTTTGCTACCTTCTAAGTCTCAGGCTCAAACTGCCA